AGGCCATGACAGGCAATTCAGGCTCATACCAGCAAGAAGCCAGTATAGGAGCTGCTCATTCCTGCCCAAGACAATCAGGGACTGGAACAATCTTTCAAAAGGAACGGTTGAGGCGACAACACTAGACACATTTGTGTCTATTGCCTCAAGCCTTCAAACCCCTAGTGCATGATTCCCTCACAAAGTGGCACTGGAAATCAGTGAAATTTCCTCATTAACATCAGGAACAGAAACATTGCAAATCCCATCTACATGCATAGGAGCCACAATGATTAATAAATTGATAGTGGCCCTTAAGAAATAGAAGAAGAAGAAGGCAGTATTTTTCATAGGTTAAGAAAATAATCTTTTCTCTAAGCATCACAAAGCAATAAAAAGTAGTATGAATAAACATGCTTATATCAATCTATGCTTACCAAGAAATAAGCCTCCACACAATGTGTAATACAAAGCACCATTTCTTACAATTACTTTTGGGTTACTGAAAAACATACATTTTTTAATGGGTTATTTTCCTTCAACTCAATAAACACATATTGTGTAACCTTTAAAAAAAACACTCATGGACATCTGGTTATGAAGATGTCCAAGACATTCATGGACATCTGGTTATAAAGATGTCAAAGAAAAATCTGCTAAAGTATAAAGGATGAGAAAGAAAATACCAGTAATAAATAATTGAATATATTTTCGTCATCTCATAATCATTTTTTCTGTGCATGTAACAGCATATTTTATTTGTTCATACGTTGTTTTAAATAACTCAACACGTCCCCAATGTACAAACATCAAACGTACAATATTCTATAGTTTTGAAGCAACAAACTTAAATTTAAACATATAAGTTTTTTTTTTTATAAGTAATTAATTTTTTCCTTAAATAATGAACTGATGCAGTATATTACTTTGCGAGTTGCATCAAAACCCTTCCAAGGGGCATCAATAAGCTCTAAGAAAAGTTCCTGAAATGATTTTACACTTATCTGCTATATACTAAGCTAAATATTGAACTAAATAACACTAAACATGAATAGACTCATGTAGGAACTAACTTTTTGCTACCGATAAGTTTTATTACCCATTAAAAAAAATTTTTTAAACAAACTATACAACTACGGTAATTTAAATTACAAAACTTTTGAAAATATATGTTAAATAAATTCGCTTGCCATTCGATTAATAAATACAGTTTCTATTGCATGGTCTCTGTTTAATTATGCCACTGCTTTAAGAAACCACATTACACTTACTACACACCTCTTTCTTGATTGCAAAGCGGATGTTAGAACAATAAGCCCGCTAAGCATCATCACTCCAGTGCCAACTAGCTTGCATTCTAGACAGTCACCAGGAGCAAGAGGAATGAATCTCAACAAAGTCTTCCGCAATATTGAATCTGTTTTTGCTGTTTGAATGTCCTTGAGAAAAATAATATATTCATAAATTTAAAATTTATATTTTTAATTAATTTAACCAGTATAATTTTTTTCTACAATATCTTTGTTGAAATTTATGCAAATAAAATTGCATATGCATCATGCATAGCAATACTTATAAATTAATGATTTTATAAAACATTTTTAAAGCCCATTTTAATGAAAAGATTGGGGGGCCCGCAATGGAGGACACTTACTTCCACTGACAATAATGGCTTATCATTGGAGTTCTCTAATTTATGAGACTCATGCCCGTAAAGCCATGAACGCAATTGATTCATAGCAATTCATGAATAGATCATGAAGACTCTTCTTATGCCAGTTGGCTCATAATCTGTAATGCACAGAATAAATTAAACATTAGATATTTAAATTAACCTATTGTAAAATGCTTCAAGTACAGTTACTAAGTGTTACTAAGTACAACCAAGATTAGTGATGTATTGATTAAATTACAAATTAAAATGCATCCCTAAGGGCCTAAGAAACTACCATGGCTTAATGCTCTCTCACATTTATGGAGTAGTTTGCCCAAAAAGCTAGATGTATTTGGCCTTGACAGACACGGCAGTGACGAAACACACCCCTGAACACGTACAGAAAGCAGCTGCCTTGGAGACCATGCATGGGTATGTGAATACCCATGTGAAAGTTTTCATGGATGGCTCTCCCAACATCATTCAACATGAGAGAAAGAAATTCGGGGTATGGTGCGCTCATTCTATACCCAATTGGAGGGCCACCAAACCAGGAACTTTCAAGGCCCTGTGGGACTGAAGCATTGAATTTCGATGCAGAGCTGGAGGCTATACACAGGGCCCTGGAAAGTGTGTACCACACTCTGCAGAGGTGGGAGCTTGTGGGACATGACGTGGTAGTCTACTCCAACTCAAGGTCTGCTCTTGAAATCATGGGTAGGAGGGCAGGTACCATGCACTTATTTGGTGCCATCATGGATGATGTGGGCAAGATAGGTAGATTAGAAGGAAAGGTAACAGTGCAGTGGACCGTGGATTCCATGGCTCGTCAATGTCAGTGCCAAAAAAAAAGCAGACGCCCTGGCAAAAACTGGGGCCACCCAGCCTCAGCCGGAGTACTAATAACATATCTGGGAATTAAAAACTAGGTGGCAGACCATTTCCAATTATTTTCCACTATTCGTACCCGGGTCCCTTTACTTTAGACTAAATGCTATTCGGATGTCATTTGTCACAATTTTTGGTAGTTTATTTTAGTTAAACAGAAGAAGTAAGTTAACAAACATATAGTCCATTCAATTATCTTTCATTTGATACCAAATTTTGTCTTACAAACCCAACAATAATATTTTTAATATTTTTTAATCCCAACCTCTCCCTTCTAATACCCGGGCAAATAGCCACTTCGATTGAATTATGGCGTGCGGCATGGACATCAAACGGGAAGGTTAACACCCGGTCCTTTCGCCGCCTATGAAGGAATAAGCTTAACCTGCCGATATTTTAAAAATTGTTTGTGTCTCATTAATCTTAGAAAGTGTCTATTGGTAGTTTACTACCGAAAGCTTCTAGTTAGGGCAGGGAGCTATTTGTATTAAACCACCAATAGCTTCTAGAGAGCTATTGGTAGTCTAGCAATCAAATCAAACCAAAATCTTAGCTTTGAAAATCTGCTTCCATCAAGGCTGGTGAAGTATTGCCCCGTTCATTTATTACTAGTTTGTTTTAGTTTTAGTGACAACAACTCGGCACTAATTATAAAATCTATAGTACTGTTTTAAAGTTTTAACACTATCAGCTGTAGCCTTCCCCACGCTCAGATTTGGCTATATTGCTATATAATTTATAATATAGACCTAATATAGATCTTAGATAGATGTATTACAGGGGGGGGGGGGAGATCATAGTCTGAAAAAATGTTACCCAGCTTCTTCTTTACCAAGGCCAAAGTAAGATGTGCAGTAAAAGTAAAATCCAGCTGTAAACATTATGTGTGTGCTAATTATTATGAAATTAAAATACAGGCCTAAATAATTACAATAAGAAGTTTTACTGCATACAAAGTGTGCATATTAAAAACAAAATATTGTTACTTGAGCTAAATGAAACTTTACAATAACGTGATTAGGCTTAACGATGATAAAATAAGCTGAGGCCAATCATTGTTTAGGAACATGGTCACATGAACCACCACCCCCCTGCCCCCTGCTTTTGATTTTCTGTTGTTGGGAGAAATTTCTACTGAGTGTTATTTACATTAACTGATAAAGGCATCAATATTTTTTATGTACAATTATTAAACAAGTTCATTTGGCTATATTGTGAAACTATAACTATAACACAAATTAATCACTTTAATGTCTGAGTCTAGGAATCACTATTTACTATTTATTTTTTAATGCTATGCAGAATATGCAGAATCAATACTTTAAACTGCACATAATCTTGATGAAAACATAAGCAGTGATACATAAATAAAATAAATACAAAGAAAGCAAAATAAGTGTATTATGTCTTGAAAATCCGATTGGAGTGAATTTATAAGACTAAACACTACTAAACACAAACAATAAATTTTATTAGCTCATGTTTTTTTTGTGTGGCAACATACATATTTTAGAGTGATTTCAGTGTTGTAATCAAAAATAAATTGTGGCTAACAATAATTATTTCACTACATCAATTTGTATCACCAATTGCTAGTGGGGTTTTTTTATAGTAAACTACCAATAGCAGTTTAGAAGCTACTCAGTAGTGGAGTGCCAATGCGCCAAGGCCAATATTAATATCTCTCTAGAGCTAGAAGTACTACTAAGTTAGCTAAGCCCCGTACTAACTTACTAAGCCAGACTAGTAAGTTGTAAGTCAGTTGTAAGTAGTCTACACAGTCTACAGTATAGTCAGTATAGTATTGGCAGTTTACTACAAATTACAAATTGCTCCCTAAAAGGTAAAAGCTATTGAGTATAGCCACAGCCTTAATCTTATCAAAATTCTTATGATCAATCATTATGAATTAGAATTATTTAGTTTTACTTTAGGTAAAATCATTGTCTGTAACTGTAAGTGTAAATAATTGATGTCGCCCATTCTTCGAAATTGTGCGTTTCGTCATCTATACATTATCTTTTTTTAATAGTTTTGTGATTTGTTTTTGTTTTTATAACACAAATGAGCTGGATGAATATTCAAAATATGGATTTATATTTTGAAAAGAAGAGACTTAATTTAACGAGAAGTCCAAACGAAGGACATAACTAAAATAACCTCTTACGCCTTAGTGTCTTTAGTTTATTTTATTTTATAAAAGTGATACTATCAACCTATTCATAGCCTATGATATACTACACTTGAATTTGATTTATTACTTTAGTTATTTAATTGTATGTACTTACTAAGTCAAACACATATATTTTAATAATAAGTAAGTCAGTTATAAGTCATAAGTAAGTATAGTTAGTATTAGTATTAACTATTACTATAGACTATATACTATATTACTATTAGTTTTATTATTTAAGACAGTATAAATAAGTTAAAACTTACTGAACTTACTAAAATGTAAATTAAATGACTAACTTAAACTAACTGAAACTCTAATTAGTCGTAGACTTAGTATAATACTAATAATTAATAATACTAAGTAAAGTAATTTTAATTAGTTTAATTAGTATTAGTAATTACTCAGTGACTTAGTTAGTAAGTGAGACTTGTGACTTAGTCTTAGAAGTCTTAGTTAATGTTGTCGTTTGTATTGTCTTAAAAGTTAGTTAATATTCAAAGTATTGTCACTTAAAACTTATTGTGGTATTGTATAATCATCTAATTCTAATTATTTTAAATGCAGTGCTGTCCAACCTTTTTGTCTACGTGGGCATCGTGGGCCAAAAAATTTTCCTGGGCCACACGAGGGGCGCAAATGACATCTCAAAAGAAAATTATTCATATTATTAATTATCAATACTTCTTTTCTTAACTACGCCTTACCCATTCAGAGTCATATGTCCAATAGCATTATCGGCTCATCAAGGTTATAAATAAAGTGAATAAAAAACTTTTTTTATGATACATTTTGCTTTGAATTTTACTTGCAATTTTCTTAATTTCTGGTAGTTATCAGTAGCACATGCCCTCATTAGATTACTTAATGTACACCAGTCAAAGCTTTATGTTTTTTGAACCATATTGGTCATTACAGAGAATCCAGCTTCACTGATATTGATATAGGAGATAGGTGCTTCCAAAAATAATAGGTGCTTCCAAAAATATGGTCACCATTTTTATAACATTCCATAGTTGTGGAAATTCATCAGATGAAACATGACGTGATCCAGAATTCATTAGGCACACATTATTATGTTTTTTTATTTTTAAGAAACACTTTAAAAAATCTTCCTATCTTTCACACAATTCCTCCCTGACTGAATTGCACTAACTACAAGCTATCACAGCGTATATCCTTCTTTCTACTCTTTGAACATCTCACACTCTGCTCTCTGAATACCATATAGTACTTGTGGCATTAGTTAATATGATTGTTATAATAAGTAAGTCATAAGTAATAAGTTATACAACATAAGTAATAAGTAACTTGTGAAATTAGTCTTGACTGTCTTAATTTTTAAGTCTAAAATAACGACAAATGAAAACAAGCTAGCTCTAAATTAAAGTACTTGGCTGATTTTGACACACACACACCCACTCCACGGTGCAGAGAATTTTATGGCCTCGAGCAGATCCAAAAATTTTGGGCACCCACAAATTTCAAAATAAGTGTACGAATCATTTTGTGAATTCGAGCCAAAAGAGACTTTTTTAAATCACTACAAAAGCGCCCTTATTGCCCTTTGTTTTTCCAACTCATCTATGATTTTTTAAAAATCAACCTCCTCGCTAAAAGACTCAATACTTAATAAGGCCATATCACGTGTAGTTCTCTCTTGAACCATAGTTGATATCAATAAATTTTTGATGAATATGAGATTGCTAAATGGCCTCTCTGCTTTTGAAAAAGTTACTGGAATTGAACAAAAAAAATATGCAATATGAATCATTTTGTGAATTCGAGCCAAAAGAGACTTTTTTAAATCACTACAAAAGCGCCCTTATTGCCCTTTGTTTTTCCAATTCATCTATGATTTTTTAAAAATCAACCTCCTCGCTAAAAGACTCAATACTTAATAAGGCCATATCACGTGTAGTTCTCTCTTGAACCATAGTTGATATCAATAAATTTTTGATGAATATGAGATTGCTAAATGGCCTCTCTGCTTTTGAAAAAGTTACTGGAATTGAACAAAAAAAATATGCAATCCAATTATCACATTTCCAAAAATTTCAAACAGCTTAAATTCTAAAATTTAGTCCCACAAATTTGGAGAAAGTTGACAGGATGAACTTGTCTCAAATGCAAGATTATTCCACGAGATCAGCCTTAGAAACCTCAGAGGAATATCTTCTGGAAACAATAGTGCAAGAACTTCTAATGTCAACTTCAGACATGATGATTAATTCAACAAGAATCTGAAACATATCTGAAATCTCTTGAACTGTTGTAAAGTGAGCTGTGAGTCCAGATATAAAAGAATCAATATGATGGTAAAAAAGTTTTTTTGAAATTGACTTCGTTATCTGGTTTAGAGGAAATTGTGGAGTCTCATGGAGTATCCTGGTTACCATGGAAATATATTTGTTTTTTCTTTCTCTTGAGTGGGAATTCTGGACTGATGTTTGCTGATTCAGCTGAAATTTGGCCTCTTTCAGAAATTTTGGCCACTCATCCCCAACAGATTTCTGTTCACATATGTATGAATTCAGATTGGTCACTTCAATATCAATGATTTATCAATAGTAGTTTTCTGTGCTTGAAGAATCATTACTTTTACCCAAATCCTTACCATGATGACACATATGGAGGATGTCATGACACATATGAAGGATGCCATGACACATGAAGGATGCCATGATGACACATATGAAGGATGCCATTTTGACATAAAGAATGCTATGATGACACATATGAAGGATGTCATGACACATGAAGGATGTCATTACACATATGAAGGATGTCGTGATGACACATGAAGGATGTCATTATGACACAGTTTCCTCTTAATTCTTACAATGCAGGTATTTTTATGCCAAAATACAATCTCAATTTCTTTGTTTTGAAAAGAGGCTTTTTAAACTTCCGCATTTTGTTGACTGATGTTGTGCGGATTGGCAATATAGAGCTCACGGACCACCATTTGGGGAACATCCTAACAAACAATTTTTGTACCGTTTCACTCTTACTATTTATAGGTGTCGCTATTAACACTGCATCTACTTGTTGCCTTGGCAGAGGAAAATTATGAGATATGGATGAAGAAAAGCAGTACTCCATCTTTAAGGTTTTCCTCTACCCATTGTATTTGTATATTTCTTATTGGTACACAGTTGCCTATATGGACGAGAAAAAAAAATTCCACCCTTGAGGGCCCCCCATGCAGGACTTACTGAGTTGCCTCAGCCTCACCTCCCCCCAATTGTTACAACTTGGACACATTTATCAATATGATCATACTATTCATACATATACATACATTGTCACAAATTTGTGACCACACATGTGATGTCATTTTGGGCATGGCCCCAAACAAAAGTATTATACTAAATTATGACCATTTGTTTTCCTATTGTTGCTCCTAAACTTATAAACACAAGCCTTGTTATTTATTACTTCAGGGGGTCATGTCAAAGTTTCAATGACCTGCCACTTGCATCAACACAAATGAAATGCACAAATTTGAATTCTCCATCAATGCTCTATAATTGACATACTTTGAAAGCATCATGTTTCCTTTTACTTTTAATATTCATTATTTTGCATAATAAAAGGCTGATTGGATATAAAATTGAATAATACCTGAATAATCTTATTTGAGTTTTTGACTGCATACTTTACAGTACAGTTATATATGCTGCATGCATTTTCAGAAATAACTGTATTTATCAAAGATATTTAAACTTCCCTTTTTTTTTTCTTTTTTTTTTTTTTCTTAAATTTAACCCCCTAAAAGGTTATTTATTTTTTGGGGGGTTTTTAAAATTGTTTTTTTTTTTAATTTTTTATTATTTGAGTTTTTTACTGCATACTTTACAGTACAGTTATTTATGTTGCATGCATTTTCAGAAATAACTGTATTTATCAAAGATATTTAAACTTCCCTTTTTTTTTTCTTTTTTTTTTTTACTCAAATGTAACCCCCTAAAGAGTCATTAATTTTTTGGGGGGTTTTGAAAATGCTATTTATTCTGAATCTTGTCAAGTACCCGGTAAATGAGATAATCTAAATGCACCAGGTATTACATGAGATCCAAGTTCACAATATTTGTTAATATTTTCCACAGATTGATGAGTTTCTCCTAAGATGTCTTGGTTGGAGAAATTATTTGGTACAATTGAGAGGGATAACGAGGCATCACAGGAAATTAAATTAGACCCCACTGCCAATCAGAATGTCGTAATTGATCCTAAAGTTGCTGAATATTTTAAAGACTTTCCAGATCCTTACAGGGAAAAGGTTGTACAGCGTTATGTAAGTATCAAATATTTGAAGTACAGGTATGGGGTAGTTTTTATATTGAGGTTGTGGGAAGCTTTGACTTTGATGGGTTTTTTTTGGTTTAAGTAAGGCAAACACTAGTTTTTGACTCATGAAACCATTTATAGTTAGGTTGCAATCATTTAAATTTAAAGCAATTCATTTGTTCTGAACTTTAGCTATTTTAACATCTCCATTTCAGAGTAAACGTGAAGGCATATACCAGTTGGATTTTTTTAGAGTAAGTCTCAAACTCAATGTCATCAAACAAATGTCATCAAACTCAATGTCATCAAACAAATGTCATCAAACTCAATGTCATCAAACTCAATGTCATCAAACAAATGTCATCAAACAAATGTCATCAAACTCAATGTCATCAAACAAATGTCATCAAACAAATGTCATCAAACAAATGTCATCAAACAAATGTCATCAAACAAATGTCATCAAACTCAATGTCATCAAACTCAATGTCAACAAACTAAATGTCAACAAACTCAATGTCATCAAACTCAATGTCAACAAACTCAATGTCAACAAACTCAATGTCATCAAACTCAATGTCATCAAACTCAATGTCCTCAAACTCAATGTCATCAAACTCAATGTCATCAAACAAATGTCAACAAACTCAATGTCATCAAACTCAATGTCATCAAACTCAATGTCATCAAACTCAATGTCATCAAACTCAATGTCATCAAATAAATGTCAACAAACTCAATGTCATCAAACTCAATGTCATCAAACAAATGGAGAAAAAAAATCATCTCAACACCTAAAGCACAGTTTCTTCACTTGACAACTAAAATATTTTTTGGTAGAAGTAGAAGAAAAAGTCAGAAATCTGTAACAATGCTAAATTTTATAATTGCTCATGGTGCAAAACATAGTCACGTTTCTGTATAGAATTATAGTGGAGATAAAATAGTAATGCTGGTTGTTTTTTTTAAAAAGTTGTTAATCTCTACCAGGATCAAGCTATGCTAAATGAGAGGAAAATGGTCTCAAGGGGAATATTTCAACAAGACCGGATTGAGCATGAACACAAACTCAAAGAGATTGAAGAGCAAGAAAGGAAGGTCCAAGACAAGGAGAGGATTCAGAAAAACCTTGAAAGAGAAATTCCAGAATGGGAAAAGACCTTGCAGCAGTATATACCCCTGCAAGCTGATGACATTATGGCACTGAAACTGTTTCAAACTATCAACCTCTCTCTGATTGGTGCATCACTGATTTGGGTTTCATTATCAGTTACGAAAAAGTAAGTGAACAAGCGTTGTTTATTCATGTTGCTAGAGTATTCTGCTTAAATTAAAACTGAACGAATTTATTATTTTAAAAATTTTTATTTCATCTTTTATGGTATTTTAGGAAATGCTAACAATTTAACCTTTCCATGACTCCTAACAAGTGGTAGCAAATTTCACTATGTACAAATATCCAACATATCATTAAAAAATAATGATAGTGTCTTAGATATCCCGTTTATTATAGTAGACTCCAAATCTCAAAATAGTGGAATACATTATTTCACCAGAATCTCCCTTCTTTGTGTTTTACACTGGGAAAGCTTACACTAAAGCTAAATATAGCTATTAGTTGATGATTGATGTTCTGTAAAAAAAAAAACTTGACTGCAAATCCAGCCCACCGTGATGAATGCAAAAAAGCTTGACTGCAAATCCAGCCCACCTTGATGGGTGCAAAAAAGCTTGACTGCAAACCCAGCCCACTGTGATGAATGCAAAAAAGCTTGACTGCAAACCCAGCCCACCGTGACGGGTGCAAAAAACGCCTTCACTTTTGAAAGCCTCATTTGAAATTATTTCTTTATAAACCTTGAAGAAGCTAAGCATTTACTTTTACTTTTACTATGGATAAACATATTGTGAGAGTGAGCAAAATAATGATGTATAAAATATTGCAAAAAGATCTACCGGTAGTCAAAAAGATGATTTCACTTATGAACTTCAACAAAATTCTTCCCACCGAAAAGTTCTTTAAATGATCAGGTTTACAAAGTTGTAATGGAAAGCAGAGTAACCTTATGCTCTAGAAGAAGAGAAATTACATTTCTTTTTGAATTAGATTTATAAAAATGTTATTGGTAAAAAAATATATTTATTTATCCCTGGTTATACGTTTCTGGACTGTATGTCTGTCAGTTTTCAAATAAATTTATTGTCATTAAAAATTATCACTACTTTTATACTGTAATTCGTATTAGTTAGTATATTTTAAATTATCGACGTAATGCTAATTTTTTCCACAGAAAACCCTCAAAGTTGAAGCTTTACTCTAATGTAGCATCTGGTGTAATAGGTTGTGTTTGTAAGTAATTTCATTTCTACTACTACTACTATGTTGTCTGTCATTTCATATACAGTGCTGAAATAAAATCTTCTTTCAATACACATGCTGCATTGGTGAAATGTTTTCACCTTAGTTTAACATGAATTGTGCCTCTCTTTGGTTCAGCATTGGTGAAATGTTTTCACCTTAGTTTAACATGAATTGTGCCTCTCTTTGGTTCAGCATTGGTGAAATGTTTTCACCTTAGTTTAACATGAATTGTGCCTCTCTTTGGTTTAGCATTGGTGAAATGTTTTCAACTTAGTCTTGGTTTTCACCCAGCAGTTCTCAACCGGTTTCAAAAGGGAAAGATTTATATCTTACTTAAAAGAATGCTAGTAATTCGTTTTTGTAGTGTTGCGTTTGTTTTAAATGTGGTAAATTATAGATTTGTATTTTGTTGACTTTGTACCGCGCTTCGAGCATTTGGGGATGAAGCATGTTTTTGAAATGAACTTTATTATTATTATTATTTGAGAAAGATGACAACTCTAAAAGTAATAAAATAATTTCATAACTTTTTTGGCCACAGCTATAACTGATTTAAAAGCCAGTGTGGTCTAGGTAGATTTAGACATTTAAGCCAGTGTGGCTCAGATAGATTTAGAGCTGGTGCTAGTAATTTGCACCAAAGTAGGACCACCAGGCCCTGTCAATGTTTTTCCAATGTCTAATACTACTTATGCTTATAGATAACATCAACCAGAAAACTGGGAAGAGTGCCTTTATTTTTTATTCATTTTTTACAAGCATATTTTTATCTTATTTCAGGTGCTCAAATACTCGCTGTAGGCAGGCTAATGGACTTGGGTCTTTTTGACAAATCATCTGACTCTAGAGAGTTCTTAGTCAAGTCTTTAGATGAGATGAAAGATGCATCCAGGCTTATAAAAAATTATTTGGAGAATCTAGATTCAGAAAAATCATCAGAAAGATAGTTAACGTTAAGGTAGAAGCACGGTTATGGCTTCCAATTGGTTTGTTAGTCAAGTGACAGTAATAAAATGTACTTGTAGTATCTGAAGTCAGACAAAGATAGTTGAAATTGTGCTTATCAATCAAATTCATTATTTGTAACTCAAGTATGCATCTGGTTTTAGTAACTGTAAATATTATCTGTAAAGGAAATTGTTCTAAACTTGTTGAAAATAAAAATTTATGCTTTTGGGTATTTTCCTTTTAAAACCTTTTGATGACTTGGTTTTAAGTGTCGAAATAATAAGTTAATTGATGTGCATTAACTAAAAGAAAATTGTGAAATTGAATATTAAAAATGAAATAATTCAACTACGGCAGTTGTCATTTTGAAAAAAATTAAAATGATAAATTTTAAGAGAACTTCTCTCAATATAAATATAAGATGAGTGAGTGGAAAGTTTCCCTAAAATATATAATTTGAACTAAATGTCTATAACAAAGTGAAGCTTCTTCTCTTGTGTAACATTCAACTTTTGAAAAGGCCAGCATTTCTGCTTTAAATGAGTTTATTACAACAAAAAAATAGTTTGGAATCTAGCAACTTATCTGCTACAATATTAATACTTTCCCCCATTATGTAACGCTAGAAATAATTTGACAAGTAAAGCCGTTATAAAAAGTTAAACAATTTTTTTTTTTTTGAAAATCATGAAAATAGAAATTCTGGGTGTGATTTGACTTTAAGAGGTTGTGTCTTTGGTAGGTTTAGCAATTTTGACAGCAACAATCTAATTACCTAAGTAGGCAAAATAAAATAAGACTACTTCAAAGGTCATGAAGTGTGTCTGCTGCTACAGAAAAAATTAATTACTGTTGATAAAAAATTATTTTCAAACTCCAGCCATAACCAACACTACAGTAGCTGTTTATAATGTGCATACCCTAGATAATTGTAAAAAGATCCAGCCTCTCTACCAAAGAATTTATGCTCGAGGAACTCAACTTTGAAAACTCTAAATTTTCAATTTACATTTGGAAAATCAGTGTGATGATTGACAAGTGCAAGCCAAATACACCACAGTTAATTATCCATATAAAGAAGCATCCATTTTTTCCCTGACCCACCATGTGAGGATAATTATAAAGATGTTCACAATTTGGCCTGACCTTACTTTGTTAGATTGTATATCAGAATAGGAAGGATTTAATGAATAGACTTTTAAAGACCTTCTATAATTCAAAAAGCTTATACTGATATTCAAGGCAAAGCCCCCCCCCCCAAATATTTACTTTTGAACACTTGAAATTCAGTCTTATTTTTAATTCAAAATTAAATAAACATGGAACATATTTTTTTTATTAAATGCAAAAAAAGTAATTATAAATAAAGTCCTTCAGGCGTTCCCTCATTCTTGCGATAAAGCACATTTTCTTTGGCTTTCTTAAAGTCTTCATTCATGACCTTCATACGACGCTCTCGGAGGGCCAGTAAACCAGCTTCAGTGCAAATGGCCTTTTTAGGAGGAAGAAAAACAAAGAGAATTAACAGAACAAGATAGAATTGTTAGTTGTTTTGTTAACAAACGCAGCAAGCAAATAAGCCTACATGATTAACCTGTATAGATGAGGACTGCATCAATTGTATTACTTCTATTCACATTGATGGGGATGGTAAGGGGTTGTTCATAACGGATGTTAAGTTTAAAATGTGCATCTTTTCCACACACCCCTTGTTAACACTTATCTGCATGGGGCTTAAAAAACTCCACTGACAGGAAAAACAGTCTCGAACTATTACATGAAAATTTACTCATAGCTAGACATTATGCTGTTAAACCCCTTACCTTAATATCAGCACCAGACAGGTCATCCTTGGACATGACATAGTCCTCAATATTGACATCTTCAGCCAAGGTCATACGACTTGTGTGAATGGTGAATATACGCCTCTTTGTTTTCTCATCTGGAAGTGGAAACTCAATTTTTCTGTCGATCCGACCAGGCCTAATCAAAGCTGGGTCCAGAGTTTCTATTCTGTTTGTTGCCATGACAACCTAAGTATAACAATAACGAAATTTAATTCAGAATTTAACTGATAATCTGATGTGTGCAGAATTTAACTCATAGTCTGATGTGTGCAGAATTTAACTCATAGTCTGATGTGTGTGGAATTTAACTCATAGTCTGATGTGTGCAGAATTGCCAGGCATAGTTAATGTTTAATCACATGATTAATTCTAACATACAAAAATTAATTTTACAAAATTAAAAAGTATGTAACAGTATAAAAAATATGACATATATTTATATGCAGTTTGGTTATGGTGATGAGTTTGGTTATGGTGATGAGTTAAGTTACTGCAGATGTATCAATCACTTTTGTGGAGCTTTATTGCCTAGTAAAGTTATTTATAGAATTATTAACAAATATTATCAAAGTCATGGCCCATTTCATAGCTTGGAATGGCTGATCTTTTTATAACCAGGGGATGTCACAACCAAACTAGTTTAATCAAAAATTAATTAGAATTAAGGTATCACTTGTTTTTGTAAATCCAAACTAGGTTTTTCTTTAAAATTCTTTTCAATTAATCTTTCACAAAAAAATTGTGTTACTATACACTTAATTAAAATGTATTACACCAATAGAAATAGCTATGCACATAATTGAAATTAAATGTTCATATGTATTATTTAATACTTCAAAATAAGAAATGGTATTACTGGTACAATGTCCAAACAAGAAATGGTATTACTGGTACCGGTACTTAAAAACAAGACATGGTATTACTGGTACAATGTTTTATCTCCAATATATCTAATCAACACCCTTTTATTTTCAATGTAAAAAAAAGTTTCTTATTAAATTTACTATTAGAATAATGTACACTTTAAAGTGTTGACTTGAGCCCTTTAAGGTTAAGTGAGGGAATCATTATTTATCCCCCAAAAGTATTTAACTGTTAATAGATGAACATGCAAATTATTTTAACATAGCTTTAATTAATATTTTTACATTGAACGGGCAAACAGATATAAACTGATGTAGGACAAACCTTGACATCCCCCCGTGAATCAAAACCATCCAACTGATTCAGAAGTTCCAGCATAGTACGCTGAATTTCTCTCTCTCCTCCAGAATTAGATTCATATCTGTGGGACAAATTTAAAGTAAAGCATGACAGGCTAATTCAACACTGTACATTTATTTGAAATAACACTATAAAGGTTTAAAAAGCTGCATGATTATTTTTTTGTTTATATCAAGATCTTCAAAGCAATTGTAAGCCATTTATTTTATTTTTTAAAATTAAATACCTTTTTGTTCCAACTGCATCTATTTCATCTATAAAAACTATGGAAGGAGCATGCTCTTCAGCTACACGAAATAGTTCACGTACTAATTTAGGACCATCTCCCTGTAAAGCATGAGAAAAATAATTTTGAGACGTGGGCTGATTGACAATGCCAAGAACAATTTAAGATATTTATTTAGTAAATTACTCCGATCTGAAAATCTAAGAGGTCCTATGTAATGTTTATGCAGCACACTACAAATACATGATTTCTTAAATAACAAATGGCAGTTGACCATTGTGCAGCTAAAGTAATTTCAAATAAGTCCTACTGTTCTCTACCTGGTCTATAATAAAACCAAAGCTCTTAACAACATGATTTGACTATGAGATGTTAAAACAATTAGATATGACCATGTAATTTTGAGTGGAATATGTGGCTTTATATTGTTATCTTAAACTTAAAACAATCACTCATCTGCCTGTAAAATGCTTTGCTCATAGATTTTAACATTTGGATTATTAGTACAGTAGTATTTTAGTGAAGCGCAAGAAATACATTGGAATCCGCTGTTGTCAAAGGATTGCTTTCCGACAAGTACCAAGATGGACAGAAAAAGACACTAGCTGGAACTGACAGTTCTGTAAGCCTTAAGTCAATGCCAGGTAAACACAAGAATAGAAGAGGAGGATACACACTGAACAACAGCCCACTGGAAACTGTTACAAAAAAATATGACAGTGACAAAAGAAAACTACGCAAGGATCAGTAAGGACATTCAGGCATTTAAAATGTCTACACCCCTCAACATGAAACCCACCCGGAAGAGGAAGGCAAAAGAATACATGGAGACGCAAGTTAGAGGTTGATACACAAAAGATGGGATACAAATAGAATGGAGAGCAAAGGACAAAGTTGAAAGGAAAAACAATTATATAGATGGCCTACGTCCATTATGGCCAAAGATAATGTCCCATATTGAGGTGCTGGTACAGAGAGACAAAAACGGCAGAAATTGTACATTTGCTGGAGATGTCTGTGGAATTCCTGCAAGTTCACTTCCCAGACACCACAAAGAAATATTTATTTATTTATTTATTTAGGCATTTTTATTATAGCGCTTACCTTAAAGCTCTAAGCGCTTTACAATTATTAAAAACATGTAAACTAGCTAAAATAAAAATGAGACATTAGGATAGTAACTACTATGCTATAGAAACATTAAAATGGCTATAAAACGAGGAAACTTTGGCACGTTTTGGCCTATACTACAGGATCAACCCGAGACAGAAAATGAGGCAGGGCAAGGAGGGTGCATCACAGGTCATAGGCGGACCTAAACAGATGGGTTTTAAGGGACTTTTTAAAAGTGGACGAGGTTTCACAATGACGGATATGGAAGAGGAGCTGGTTCCAGAACGTGGGCCCATGGAAGTAGAAGGAGCGTTCACCGATGGTCTTAGTTTTGGTTCTTGGGAGTGAGAGGGTTCTATTGTCAAATACAGCCTAGAGAAAACAAATCAGCAGAAGACCCTATGAGATCTGGTGCAGTACAAGAGAAAACGATCCCTGGAACAGAAACCTGACCCTGCAGACAACCTTCATGGAAACAGCTGACAGTAGTGGTCATGGATTGACGAAGTACAAAAAAATAAATAAATAAAAGATTTAAATTTTAATGATTGCAACTTACCAGATATTTCTGAATAAGTTCTGAACCAACAACTCTTAAAAATGTTGCCGACGTTTGGTTAGCTACTGCTTTTGCTAGAAGTGTTTTACCTATTGAGAATTCATTTCACAAATAGTTAATACTTTTGAACAAAAATGTAACAACTTGTAAAAAATAGGAAAACTTATCCAACCATGACTCAACGTACTTTAAATGATACAAATAATAAATAGGCAAGCAACTTTCCATACAGAGCAAAAATGATTTAGCCTGATAATTCCAAACAGAAAGGTGTGGTAAAGAATTTATAAAATCCATTATCCTAATTAATTATGTAAGCCTAAATTTGATTACAATTTAAACAAGCTATCTACATTTAGTTACATGACTCTCAAAATTTGTTTTAAAAATATTCAATTTTTTAAAATGTATCATGAATGACTTGAAATAACTTAATTAATTCAACCTCACTAAGAACATGTTTAGAGACTGTAAAATAAACATTACCAGTTCCAGGGGGTCCGTAAAGAATAACTCCCTTTGGCGGCTTGATTCCCATCTCTTCATAGTACTCTGGGTGGGTAAGAGGTAGTTCTACCGATTCCTAAATAATTAGACATGAAAATGTTTTAATGATCAGCAGACACCTAGAAAATAAGTATTTTGACTGAAATCATAAATGTATGACATTTTTAAATAAATCAACAGTACTCGGACAAGAAAGTAGGCTGATGATGTTAACTAAACACATTCAACTGGCTACAACCACAAGAAATACCGACTTGGTAAACTAAAATCTTAGGAGAAGCTTTTTAAAAAAACTACCTTTATTTCCTGAATCTGATTATCTAACCCCCCAATGTCTGCATATGTCTCTTGTGGTGCCTTCTCTAGTTTCATGACAGTCACCATGGGATCTGTGTCATCACTCAAAACTCCAACCACAGCATGGACCTGTCAACACAAAAATAATATAAATGTTTTAAAAAACACATCCAATTTAATTAATGACTTTATTTCAAGTAATAAATAGCAATAACTTGTTTGATCATTTACTACATAATTGTTTTTGTTTTGACATCAAATAGACAAACATTAACAGAGGATCATCCCAGAAAGATAGACAATTTTATTTTATTATACTTATTGGGATTTACCAAATTAGAAATTCTAAGTGAACATAAAAGAAATTAGAGAGAAAATCTCTACCAGTATTTTAATCAATAATTTAAGTTACCAGGAACAAACACATATTTATTTCTTAATCCTTAAAATTAACTCAAAATAAAAACACCCCATTCTACTCAAAAACCTTAGCACAAAATCTGATTAATTACTTTATGATTCAGTAGCACTGAGCATCCAGGCTCCAATTGATCTTTGTCGACAAAGGACAGAATACTGACATAATGCTCACTGCCGACAGATGTAGAAACTATAGCATGATTGTCATCTATGATTTCTTCAAGGTTGCCAACAGACATTGGTGACCCACGCAACTCATCCACTTTAGAGCGTTCTTCCTATTAAGTAAAATGATAGAATAGCAGATTAGAGATATTATGATAAATAAATAGTTACCTCTATTTTATAAAGAATGTGATAAAAAAACTCTCATTAACCCAGGTGCAACAAAAATGTAGCTGTATTAAGTGCAACCCTCAATCTAGTGAAATGAATATGCACTGCGGAATAGATGTTATGAAGTTATTGATTGTCAAAACCAATCTTGAAATGAAAGCCACTTCAAGAGTATTTTAATAGACAAGATTAAATAATTATTGTAGAGTAAATTTTTTTTTTTTAAATATTAAAAATATATGTATGTTTTTATACGTTAACCATTAGATGAGATCATATGAATAAGTCAAATAACCAGCAAAATTGATAATGATGTACCTCATGTTTCTCTTCTTGGGGTTTAAGTCTCTCTTGGTTCTTGATAAATTCCTCTTCCATCAGCAAATAATCCTTAATTCTCTCTAACTTTAAAAGCTTTAATCTACATCTTGTGTAGGGAGTCACTAGAATCAATGCATGTTATTATATTTTTAATTCATTTAAGTCAAAACTTTACAACTTAAATAATAATTACTTGCATTTGAAATGGTGTATATATCATATATCACTATTACAAGATGATTTTTTTAGAAGTACACTAAACATTATCAGACAAACCAATAAAGCCCATTTCAAATAAGGCCAGTGTGAAAAAAAACAACAACTATATTATGATCATACCTTGAGGTAACTTAGTTGCTGCGTCAGGTCCTTTAGATCTCTTCTTTCTTTTCCCAACTCGTGTCGGTACAGGTGGCTCATATTTTCTTTTTTTATCCTTTAAAAGTTAAATTTACTGTTAATAAAGACTTAGGGGGGCAGGCTACCAAAAAAAATATTTTTTTTAATTAACCAACTTAGAGCAACTATTTTATTATGGTCATGTTAAGCTATGAATGGAGATATATTTTCATGCTTTAAAAAAAAAATTATATAGTTGCCATGGCAACGGCGGCCATCTTGAAAATAATACCCATTCGTAGAGTTCTAAAATTTTAAAAACAAACATACATATTGCTTAAAAAATTATTGATTCATGAACTTCAATTATATTTAGAGGTACTGAGCTAGTTTAATTTCCTTCAAACTTTTCAAAAGATTTGTTTTTTTATTTATTTTTATTTTAACAAAAGTAATTGACGAAATTGACTTTTGAATAGCTCATTACCCACAAAATAGTTAAAGGTGGGTACGCACCAAATTTTATTACTCTAGCTTGTATATTAGCTGAGATTTTAGAATTCTACGTTACAAAACAACAGAAAAAAACAATTTTGAGAAAAATCAATTTTAAACTTTAAAAGTGAAAAATTTTAAGTTTAATATGAAAATGAAGTTCTTTTACATAGTTTTTTTTGTTCAGCAACATGGACATGGTGGTTTAGTATATTATTGAACTGTTGAATGCACCAGGAACATGGGTTTCACCTTCTCAAACTTCACTCAGGTGCTCTCGTGAAAGTCACAATTTTAAAAAAAAAAATATTTTTCCTCTGGCATAAAGCTAATTTGTGTTGTATAAGAATTTTTTGTTCAGCATTATAGTATAACACAAGTTATCCAAAGTCCCCAATCAACCCTTTTTGTCCATGATCCTTTTAACCATACTTAGATGACAAGGTTATGTTGCTGTCACCATCACTGAAATTGAAGCATAAATAGTTTAATGGCAGCAATGCTATGTTGAAACTTTGGACCTATTTTGTGTACTTCTTTCATCAAAGATGTCCCTCATACCAGAGGTGAATGAGTTATTTGTCTATTAGAAATGTAATAATTGGGCAGATACTTGCTCATAAATGTTTCATGTCTTCGGCATAGCGCAGTTTTTATACTTTGTGAAGGTTATACATTTTTTCAGGTGCAGCTGGATTGTTTATCGCAGATATCATAGATTGCAACTTTTCATAGTCCATGCGATTGTCCTTCAGGCCTTACAGTCTATAATTGATAATGACTTGATTATCCAGTTGTGGGTATGAACAATCTAACCACTCACAATCTAGTCATTGTTATATTCACAGTATTTACTATTTTGTTTTGCAATCAGCTGTAAGTTATGGCTGCTGCAATTTGTCCATTCCAATGCAGACAGAAGAAAATTGGTAAAAGCTTTGAATTGTGATCATATCAAAATCAATGTTTAGCAGTCCCTCTGTTGAATTCTTGTCACTGAGGAATTAACTTTTGCTCGGCTCGTTAGAACTTTTGGGGGCTGGAATGGAATTAAAAAATTATATAAACATCATTTAGCAAATAATATATTGAAAATGATCTCAATAAGCCTATTAGTATTATTTAGATGTTTAGGATTGCTTAACTAAATGTTTATTTTATTATAATTACTACTATTAGTCTAATGAACTGATCTTAAAAATAAGAAATAATATAAAACTAATTAGGCTATTACTATTAATAATTGTAAGCATATAAAAAAAAATTAATAAGGCTAAGAATAAACTATTTGAGTTAAAACATTCTAATACGAATTATTTTGCCCATACTGCTAATGCTAATACCATAATTATAGTAGTATTACGGCATAATATTCATATAATTTAACAATTCACTTGATTGGTAAATATAAAGACTAATAGTAGAAACTTATGTAATTCTCCGCATAAGGCATAAGCTAAACATAAACTCACAAACAATACACACGCACGATCATCATGGCAACAGTGACAGTACTGACGTATGAACTGAATAATTTCAACTATCACTGATTGCGTGTTGCTAAATTAAGGTCATTTTTTTTAGTATACTTACCTTGAATTTCTGGCTTTTACCGAATGGGTAAGGTTGTAAATGTGTATTTTAAAATCAAAATATGCTGATGCTTTCGTTTGCAAAATTTCAATCTGTACACAGAACCCAGGATCCGGTAAAAACACATAAACAACTCGTTTGCGCATGCGGGAGTCAACGGTATCTTGGTTACCCTCCGTTTGGACCAATGAAAATCGGTAAAATAATTATATAAATAGAAGCGAAGAAAATCCTACACACATTACGCTTGTGGATCCGATTATTTGAAGCAATTATATTTACTGACTAAGATTCTAAATGTTAAAAAAACTGCTTGATATATTATGTTGATATATAATAATAGCATATTTTGTTATTTAAAACTAGTTTTTTGAGGTCTCAAACATGGGATATGTGATGAATTTTATTTTATTTCCAAAATTAGTTCAATTTTTAGAGTGGAGTGGGGTGTTAAATATCAGTTGTTTCACAACAAATCTTTTAAAAAGTAGTATAGTTTGATGTGTAATCGATTCTAAGAATGTTGATCTTCGTAAAAATGAAAAAATAAAAAATGGACAATTTTTTAAAAATTTAGATATTTTCGGGCGCCTACCCCCTTATGTGTTTTCTGTTGTTAAAAGTCTTAAGTGTCTGTAAATATTTTAAAATTTCCAAGACAAGTCTTTTAATATTTCAATAGTTATAGAATTGGGAATATAAAATAATTTAAAACAAAAGTAGACTTACATTCCCACATAATTGTATGAATCTTAATTTAAGACAGATCAATTAAGACACATATTTATTACAATAGAGCTATGAACTATTGGTAAGAAGGTGGGTAATGACCACAGGCTCAGTGCAGTGTGTAAAATAAATAAATAAGTAATAAATTAATATTTTTGTTGGACCTAACAATGTGTTTGATAAACTTTCCCGTTCTTCACTGAGAATTACTCGCGTCATAAACTATATCTGACGATTAATAGAAAATTGAAGTACCTGTATGCTAAACCTTCTGTAAAAAGGGAGACTACCACTTAATTTGTATTGGAAATGGGCGTTGGCACAATAGTTTAGGAAATATTTGATAACTTGTGTTTCAGAATGAATTTATAAGTCATTTAAACCAGAATATTTTCATTTGAGGTTTAAAAACATTATTATAAATTATCATAATTTTCTGTATGCAAAATCTCTTAATACACTATTCACTATTGATATCACTATTGAACCATTGGTTAAGGAAAGCTTTAACTAATAAATTAGTCATGTGCAAAGCTTAAAATTCAAAATATTTATATAATTTAACAGGACACTTCACCATAATTTTTCAATACCAAATACTGGGGAGGGGAGAATGGGTTTAACACAAACATAAATATGTAAATCTTTTGAGTAGGCCTACTACTACTACAACGCTGCAAATGGAAGTTGACCTGGGGAAGCTCTGTGACCATGTAATGCATAGCTGGCCTTACCACTAACCCAAAATCAGCCAGATTTTTAACTGTATGCATAGTATAGTGCCTAGTAGTACATACTTACATACAAATCAGAAGATTAAATGATATATGTTAGGCCTACTACTTACTTTATCATCACCTTTGTCACCTCCTTGACCTCCTGTTCCACCAGACTGGCGTTGTCCCTGTTTATTTATAAGATCATATATGTCAAAATTTGTGTCAAGTTTCCTACATATAATCTGAGTATATGAAATGTTGCCAATAATTGCTAATAACTCTTTTTTGTGAATCGGGAACAAATACCGGGGGGGGGGGGTATCGATAATTGGTATTTAATTAACTAGTTTATTTACATTTGCTTCTACGCTTCAAACTTTAAAAAAAATTTCTTGACAAAGAAAAAAAAGAATACTTAAATGTGTGCAGATACTGATTAAGTATTGTTTGAAGTAACTATCGAAAACTGTCATATATTAAAAGTTTCAGTAATTTTATTTTCATTCTTACCATAGTGACTGGCAAATTCGGAAGTTACAATGCAAATTTCATTGACATGCGTAATGCGTACAGATAGTTTATATAGTTCTTTGAGGGTTGAAGATAAAAAAATAATTGTATGTTTTGTAGTAGTTTCCCTTTATCAAAATGTCTGCTTCCATGAAGCAATGCGAAGCAGCAATATTGTTTGGATTTAATACCCATGAACATGGTAAACAATTTAAAAATAAGAGAGAATATGAATATGTAATAGTTAGGCCTACAGTTTTCAGTAAGCAGAAGAGCAAAGTCAGTTATTATTTTAGTATTAGGACACTGCTGCTCAGGCCTACACTACAACTCTACACTCCATGCCGCCATAGTCTATAGTATAGAATTAGATTTAGATAGAAGAAGAAGTGTTGAGACTGATTGTAGTTGTAGTATTGTAGGCTATACACTGTTACTCACTGTATAGCATTAAAATTTTTATTGAGAAAACTCAGTTCACCGAGTCATCCAGTCCAATAAGATCTAACCAACAAGTCACTAGTTATTTACTTAACTTGGGTTAGAATAGATACTAACTGCCTAACTACACTCAGGTCAACTCACTCCTGGCTGGCTGACTGATTGGCACTGATAGGGTTCCGGGTTATTCATAAAATCACAAATAATTTAAATTGTCACTCATCAATCTACTCTAGCGCTATGCCCCCCACCCTACCCCCACCCCAAACCAATGATCAATGAATTTGTGACTGATAATGTACATTTTGCATTATCATGAAGAAGATATCTAAATTTGTGACAATGACTGGGGGAGGGAGTAAAAATTGGCAAAATTTGTAGTTTTCCTGCAACCTGCACTGCAACTGAACAAATAATTCCACCTCCTATTTTAATTTTACAGTTCATAGTTATAGTATTATAGTATAGTAATCTGTGCTAAACCTCCACTATTTTTAACTAGTACAAATGAAATATTCACAGGTGTACACGCTCTGCATTGAATTAAAAATGAAGTGTATTAGTATTGTGTTGAAATCCCCAAATCTAATCTCACCACTCAGTTATATAATTGAATTCATATTACAATTACAGTCTATAGACTATAGGCCTAGTAACAAATTAAAAAAAAAAAAAAATCCAAACAGGTTAAATAGTTTTAACACAAATATAGACACAAAAGTGATAACTATATTGTCTATAATATAAATATAAAAAGTATTAGTATTGTGTTGAAATCCCCAAATCAAATCTCACCACTCAGTTAAATAATTGAATTCAAATTACAATTAAAGTCTATAAACTATAGGCCTAGTAACAAATTAAAAAAAAAAAAAAATCCAAACAGGTTAAATAGTTTTAACACAAATATAGGCCCTAAAGTGATAACTATATTGTCTATAATATAAATATAAAAATGCAACCAAAATCAACTTTCTAGCTTTAGACTTTAGAAGAAAGTTTGTTACAAACTGGAATTAACAGTTCAATAGCCTTGTTGTCTAGGGGTAATTTAATTCTTTAAAAAACCAATGCTTCATATGACAAATGTCTCTTTATTAATTATTTAGTGTGTCTTCTTCTTTCATCCTCTTCTCACTCTGCAGCTCCATTACTAATGCTCCATTACTAACTACTCCATTACTGCTGCTAAAACCATAACATCCAACAACGTCATTTCTTATACCCAAATATGTCACAAAATACAAAGCATATAATTAAAAACAGCTACACAAATATTCTCAGAAACAAACATGCAAGCGCAGAAATCGAACAAATCAGTAACACAGTTCAGTAGGTATTTGAATTTTCAAAATGTCTTTCAGTTTGTCCTTTTTTATTATAGTCTGCACTTCTAATGTTTTGAGACTATTCTCTTGTATTCATTCTGTCCCATGCCCATTGTAAGACTGCACTTCAAATGCTGTGAGACAATTTTCTTGTATTCATTCTGTCCCATTCCTTACTGTAAGACTGTAAGTTTAATATAATTTTTATAAACCTTGTTTTTCTCTTGACTTCACACTGCATTAAAAAAATGTTGTACTGTTCGCTGAAACAAGCTTGTTGCGACTAGTTTATTGGTTTTTTGGGTCTTTTTTCAGGTTTTCCCCATCCCTGAGCAATATTTTAAATTTTCCGTTTGTTAGATGAGTCCTAGCTCAATGATACTTTCTATATATATTGTTAAATGAATGTTCTAGGGGGTACATTTAATTTAATGTGGGTAAACCTTGACCTTTTTTGTTTCACAAAGATGCAAATGGGAACCTTATTCACTTTAGATAAACAAAACTTAGGCCTGAGTGCCTGTTTCTGAAACAAATTTAGTAGTTAAGTCCCTTACTTTATAGAGGTACCTGCCACTGCCATTAAAATACTTAGTTACCAAAGTTAAATGCTCATTATTAATGGCATTTGAAGACTAAACACTATCAGACCTGTTTACCCTCAAACTCTCAAAATTGTACAATATCATCACAAAATCGTTTAATACATTATCATAATTGTCAAAAAATAAACATAAGGTACATATGATGTATACAGCTCAAAATCATACATTGTACACCAAAATCGTAAGAGTAAACAGGTCTGCACTATAGTTAATATTCTTAGTACTAAATTAATGTAGAATTGGGAATACTAAAAGGTTATGGGATATCCAATGTGTCTTTGGTATTTATGTTAATTAATTTAATTGTTAAAATTCTTTCAGGATCAAATTTACCTGAACTGGTCCAACTATTTCTTGATGGGAAGTATGAGGACATTTTGGAATTATCTGAAATATTGCGGACAAAAAGTGACAGTGAGAATAACTCCAAAAGTATAGGCAATTTCATTAAACATAATGTTGAAATTTTTATATCACAAGAACAGGAAAACTTAGAGCTAAGGTGTGTATTTGTGTCAGTATGTATGTTTTAAAAACTTTATGTTTATATAAAAAATTTTTTTATCAGTGATGAACCAAACTACCAGAAATTTGCAGATGACTTTATGTATGCAGTCCAGGTCAAATATTTAAGTCCATGTTCAAAGTGAAAGGCAAATCTAAAATATTCAAACATTAAAATTTAGAGAGCTCTCCTCAGTGAAAGAAACTAGTATGTGTGAAGAAATGCAAGTAGTGGTATCAGTGTGAGAAGATACATTTGTTAAAATCTGGACTTTTTTCTTCCAGACATTTGAGTGTTCTGATACTAGGAGCTTCATGTCTTCAACTATTTGTACAGAACAACTGGCTGGGACCACCAACCTCAAAACAACCTCTAGAATTTTTTCATGAGTACTTTCATGATAAAACAGTGGTAATATATATTTTGAACAAAATAATTGGATTTATCCTTTCAAGTCATTTTCTCACTGCTGATGGTTTCTGATAACTATTATAGCTGAATCATAATTTATATTATAAATAATATTTTTATAAGCTATATAAATATAGTGGAATCAGCTATTGCATGGCTTCCAAAATTTTGTTTATTCATTATGCATATCAACAAATTGGTTTCAAAGTACATGATACAAATGTATAGAGTCATAAATCCACTTAAACCAGTCCAACTTCAACACCACATAGCTCACGATCCACAAGATAAATCAGTCCAACTTCAACACCACATAGCTCACGATCCACAATATTTTTAAAAAATCAGGTTTTATTATGAGATCACTAATCTTCATACTTTAAAAATCCTTAAATTTATACACACAGAATGTTGTGTCACCTGGCATTACCACAATGCTGTTATTATTGCTTTTCAGTTGTCATGCACTTCTATTTTATCAAATTTTTAGAAAGATGAACAATTTCAAATATCGTTGTAAATTGATTTTTTTTTTCTTCTGTTAATGCTGATACTAGAAATTGGTACAATTGAATTGATTTTTACATTTTACAGTTTTAAATATTTCTCATATTTTTATAGGATATCGAAAAAGAATCTCTTCAGGAAATGAGTGTGGATGGTGAGACATCGTATCCAGGGGCTAAGTTCCTGATCTATTTGTACCTTGCCAAAGTTATTCTTCTTGAATGTAGATCCTTTTTCTCACTTAATCAGGTAAAGCAACTAGAAAAATGTTTTATAAATAATAAATGGGTCTCAAAGCTTGAATGTGTGACCTATGGTTACTGAATTGAAACTGCAAATGGCCTCTCAGGAAAGCTTAGACGATTACACAATTTTGAGAATTCATATCCCCATGAGTATTTAAAAAGATGTGTATTAGAAAGGAGTGTCGTTTAAAGAAGTATGAGTATTAATAAGGTGTGTACTGGAAACGAGCGTTGCTTAAATTTAATCCAAAAATATCAAGATATAATAAATATGTGATTAACGGGGCTAGACATTTTTATAGGTTTATCTGATTATACAAAAGGAAGAAATTTAATATAATCATCATACATTCCATTATTACATGTCTGATATATTTGTTTCTCTCTTAGACTTGGGACTGGTGGCTGGCTAGATGTCTCCTTATTCAGCAGGGTCTTCTGTCAGAGAGATGTCCAACACTGAAAGCCACTGTTATGGAGTTGTTGGATGACTGTAAGTTATCTTTCTTGATTTTTCTATGAAAAGAGTAACTCCACTGTGTTTTTTTTGGTCCTAGACCAGAGGTGTCCGCAACCCCTAGGTGTTCTGGAGGCAATGTCAGGGGGTACAGGAATACCTAGAAAATTAGGTTTATTTGTATTTTTATAAGTATTTTTTATTGTGAGGGGTGCGGGAAATTTGTTTTGAAATCGAGATGGGGCTGCAAGAAATGTTTTGAATTTCAAAGGGGGTGCAGTGCTGCAAAATGGTTCAGAACCCTTATCCTATGCCAAAATGTGTTGTTAAAGAAAAACTTTTACTGCAAAAATAATATGATTAAAATGTAGCATTAAAAAAATAATTGTTATACTATTAGGTTAAACATATTTCATTTGAAAAAGATCTCAAGCATGTTTTGTTAAAGTTTTATAATTTTCTTAGAGACTGTTATGGTCAATTGTAATGATTTTAATAATGCTCTGATCCATTGGGATCATGTACTTTTTTTCCTCTGCATTGAAATGTATATTAATCAGTTGTATATGATTATATCCACCATAACATTAAATAAACCTTTTCCTTCAGTGTCAAAAAGGGAACCTTTGATGATAGATGATTTAAACAGGTAGAGCCATGTAGCATTTATTTAAATATAATTATTTTTCAATAGTTTCAGCTGTTCCTGTATTTAAAGTGTATAGAAATAAATGCTCAAAATACAGTAATTCAAGTTTATGTTCAATATTTCATGTCTTCAAACAATTAACTTTTTAAATGTCCCCCAATGTATTTTCAAGTTGTGTGACTATTAAATAATATTAAACCCATTAAATTAAAATCATTTACACCTCAGATTATTTTAATACTCTTGTTTGTGTTATTAAATTTCCAATTTTCTTATAATACATTGTTGTAAATATTCTTGAAAACAATGCAACTTTGTCATCACAGGGATATTCAGATTTTGTTCCACATTGAAGCTGGACATGCTTGCCACACATACTATGAGTATAAAAAAGCTGCCCATCATTTTGCTACTGGAAAGAAAATTGCTGAGATTGATGTTTCATTGACAGGTTAGCAGACTTAAATATTTAATTTGAATTTCAAGGAAGAGTTGAATATCATTTTGTGTATTTTTGTCTCCTCTTTTACTTTAAAAACTATAATTTTTTAATAAATTAAACATTTAAATTTAAAAACCTTTTTTATATTACTCCAAAAAAAAATTATTTTTTAAAAGGTAACTTTTTTTTGAACAAAGTATTTATTAATGTTAATCAAAACTTTTTTTTTTATGTTTTCAGGTGCTATGGGGAAGCGAACACATTTTCAGGAAGAGGACAAAGCACAGCTTGTTTTGCATGTTGAGAAACGTTCAGTAAATGATAAAGAGACGCACAATTTTAAAGGAAGTTCTATTTTACCTAAGGTAACGTATGCCTGAAAAATAACTTTTCTGAAACCGCAGACCATTTAAATGATCCTTAATAAAGATAATGTCATTTAATTTCAAATATTTTGCATTAAAACATTCACTTATTAGTTTGAAACTCCTTTTTAATGTTTCAAAATAACCAGATGAGTCTACAATTTAAAATAACCAAAAGTTTCAATATTTTTAAATCAATGCATGATCTTAAAGAGCATGAGAAAATTTATAAATAATAAACAATTTTAAGCAAAATATTTCCTCCTTCTCCATAAGTTAATTTTTTAATAAACGTTTTACCCTCCCTGTTGTAGAACTTGCTTCTTGATGATGACACAGTTTTAAATAGCATTAAGTTTGCTGATGACACAGTCACAGAGACGGCCAACATTTCACCTTTGGAACAGGCCTTAATCATAGGACTCATGTAAATATGTTAATATGTGAACCATTTTAAATATTTTCTTGCATAAGGGTAAATTAGTAGATATAAATCATAAAACTTGGAAAGGTTGTTTACGAAATTGGGCCTCAGGACATCGTCACTGGTGAACAACTTTGATTCTGTTCTAACATTCATATTCAGTTTGAGACTTAACCATGAATTTTATAATTTATTTAAGTTTCGAAATAGCTTCATTAAAACTAAACCACTGAGGGATAATGTGTTTGGTCATGTAATTATTTAATATTATTCAGGGAAAGTTACCGACGGAGTATGGCACAGGATCGACTAACTGAAGAAGAGGTTTTGACGTACATTTCGGTAATCAATAATAAACCTTTTTAAATAGAAATTGTAAAATGTTTAGAATCAGAATGTACCAGTGCTAAACTGATAGATTCAATTTAAATATAAATTTCCATGAAAAGAAGAACTTTTGAATAGTCTCTTTTTTCACTGGGGTTTTTTCAGTACATCTTAAGCAACGTAAGCAGCTGGAATGTTTCACTGGTGGCACTGAATTTGAGATCAAGGCTAGAAAGAGACAGTCGCAGGAGAGTTGAAAGGTCCATGATGCAACTGGAGGTGTGGACATTTTTCTTTACTCACATTAATTAAAGGAATCAACCATAATGACCAGGAACAATACTTGATATTTATAGTAATAACTTATATGATTCATGATGTTTAAGATTTATTTCTGAAAGCTGTTGGTTTTATGGGTTGTTTAATCAGAGCTGAACCAGTCCATGTGGATCTTAAAACTTTCCCTTCTCTTTAGATATATATTAATTTTTTTTTTTTAAGGCCTCTTACTCTTAACTAATAATAAAACTCTAATAACTGCGAGTTAGTTTTGTATATTTTTTTAAGAAGTGTTATTCTCTACAACTTGTAGTGCAAGCGTTAAAAAAATGTTGAAGTTCTTATCAAGTTATTTTTTGTGTGCCCTCAATTTCAATATTGCATTTGCCATGCTCAATTAGTATAAGATAGTGAAGATCACATTACATTTGAGATAAGTTTTTTCACAATTATGGTTTTACTATGTGTTTTTAAGTTAAGTAATTTTATCATTGTTTAATGAGTGTCTTAATACGCGTTAGGCAATGTATCAGCCCAGCTTATGAAGATTCCAATTTTTAATTTTCAGGAATTGGTGAAAATAGCAGGTGCTCCCAACTCATCACCAGATATAAGCTGTCGTATTCCTCTCTTTTATGCTTGCACTGTTCCTCCAGTTTGGAAAGTACAGGTGAGAATATTGTCCCTTTTTAAAGTGAAAAAAGTCATTGCAAAATGAAATCAGGTTAACCCACCGTTGAATTTCATTGAAATTTCTCCCTGAAATGTTGTGTGACATGTAAGAAACCCAATTACATATAGTTAACTTTAACAAATTCAAGTCTTCAATTTCCATTAGGAATTATATTGTATTCATTTTAACATGCCATTATACAAGTTGTATTCCTTTAATTGTTATATTATAAGTTTAAATTAATTTCTGATAATAAAAACATAAAGCCACCATTAATTTATTAAAAGCTCAATTCTGCATCTGGTTAGAGTGATATCAAATATGTGTTATTCCATAAAGTAATTTTAATTCATCTAAAGATTTTGTCATTTATCCTTTTCAGGGAGAACTTGCGGCATTGCTCCTGTCGCTTGGTTGTATTGGGGATGCCCTCAATGTTTACGAGAAACTGGAGATGTGGGAAAATGTGATCTCTTGTTACCAAAGATTAGGCAAAAGAGAAAGGGTTTGCTTACATTTTTTGAATGCACTTAAGCTTAGTGTTAGGGATGTCTGGCAGGGTAAGACAAAATGTTCAACCTTAAAAATAAAGTTATAGTACTTATAGGCTGAAACTGAAATGAAATCGTTTTTTAATTTATTTAAATTATTTTACAGTTTCAGCCATTTTATGTCAAATGCCTCTCAGTTAAGTGCACATGTGTTCTTTAAACTTTAATTGTTGATAAAATCTTTGGTGACTTTGCTGTTTTGAATTATTTTAAAAAAAAACTATCTGTCTTTCATCCTTATGTAACAAGCTAATTAAAATAGGATTGTTTATTGTAAATTCTTACAGGCAGAGACAGTAATTAGAGAGCGTCTGGCCATCCAGGAGACTCCATCTCTTTTGTGTTTCCTGGGTGATGTGACTCGGGACCTTCAGCATTATCAACGAGCGTGGGAAATCTCCAACCACAAAAGTGCTCGTGCCATGCGGTGTATGGGCTATGTTTACTTCCAGGAACAGAAGGTAGTCCAGAATAACTGCTGCTTCTATGCTTTATAAAAGGAATTATGCTTTTATTTTTTTTAAATTGCGGGATTTGGTATAATTTTTAATGCATATTTGTTCAATGCTTCACAAAATATAAGATACTGTTCATTATGCTAGAAATAGTTATTTTTTATTTCATCAAAAATGAGCAGGATTTATTATGTTAATAAAAATATGAATAATCAATATTCTTTATTATACAACTGATGTACCGGTAATATGAAAACTGAAAAGAAATTGGAACATATCCTTGACATTGTAAGTGATATAAAAAATATTTCAACTGATCATCTTCTTTTAGTATAATACCTTGTTCCGCTATTTCCTTCTCTTTTCAGTTTGAAAAAGCCGTTGAGTGCTTTGCCACATCTTTGAAAATCAATTCCTTGCAGGTTTGTCATTTTCTTTTTTTTTTTTAAATACTATTATCACTTGCAACCAAAAAACCATTTTTACAGTAAAATTATGGAATTGCATCAGATGCTGACAGGATACCAAATACTGTAGTTGTTTGATTCACATCAAAATGATCATTGTATTTTGATACCAGCAACCACCAAGGTATTTTGTTTTCTCCAGATTCCAGTGTGGTTTACCTACGGCTGTGCCGCCATGGCTTGTCAGAAGTTTGAAGATGGCGCTAAGGCGTTCAAGCGATGTGTCAACATAGACTTTGATGTAAGTCCTCCGCTCAATGTCACACTGTTAGGGCTCATCTTTTACATTCTTTGGCCACACGATCAGATCAGCTTGGCTCATTGTCATCAGGTGTTTGTTTCTATCTCCTCAGAACTTTGAAGCATGGAGTAACCTTGCCACATGCTATGCTAGACTGAAACAAATGTAAGTTCAACTTCAGTTAACTCTGAACCTTCTGCCTAATGAAACTGACAAAGCCTTATTTCATCTCTTTTTACATTTATCTCATTAGTGAGTAACTCATTATCTGGGGTCAAAATAAAGATGCATTTGATGAGGGTACTAATTCTAAAACTCTCAATTAGAGAATATTTTTCTTGATTTTACCTCAATAAAATTTTATTTGGGTGATTTTTCAGAATGCCACGTGCGTAATTTCTTGCTTTAATAATTCTTTCCAATTAGAAAAAAAGCTTACGCCACTCTTCAGGATGCCCTCAAGTGCAACTACGAGAGCTGGAAATTATGGGAAAATAGCTTGATAGTAAGATGAACATTGTTTTGTTACTTGACTTCCTGTATAATTATTTTCTCATCAGAGTAACAACAGAGTGAGAGAAATGTGGGTTGCTACAGAAAAGATGTTTTTTTTTAAAAATAAAAAAGCTACACAATTAATAAAGAAATTATCTGTCTGTTAGATTGGCACAGACTGTGGGGCATTTGAAGATGTCATTCGCTCTTATCATCGTCTCTTGGATCTTAGGGACAAATGGATCGACAATGAGGTAAGATTTGAGGAGTTAATGATGGGCATTACTACAGACTTCTCTCATAAATTATTAAATTAGGTCTTTACATAATGACTTTGATGAATGGCATAAAAACCAATGTAACTGAATCAAATATGCACCATATAAAGTAAGATATCACTGTAACTGAATCAAATATGCACCATATAAAGTAAGATATCACTGTAACTGAATCAAATTTACACCATATAAAGTAAGATATCACTGTAACTGAATCAAATATGCACCATATAAAGTAAGATATCACTGTAACTGAATCAAATTTACACCATATAAAGTAAGATATCACTGTAACTGAATCAAATTTACACCATATAAAGTAAGATATCACTGTAACTGATTCAAATATGCACCATATAAAGTAAGATATCACTGTAACTGAATCAAATATGCACCATATAAAGTAAGATATCACTGTAACTGAATCAAATATGCACCATATGACATAAGTTATTACAAATATAATAAAATAACGGAAGTAAAATGTGTTTTTATTTGTAATGCATTTAAAGAAACGTAGCAAATAAATTACTGGGTACTTTTAAAAATTACTCAAATGGGTCGACAGATTCTGCAGTTTGAAAGATATCTTGACAGTTCCACAAGAGTTAGCTTAGTTTCACTCAGTTATCTACTTAGTCAAAGAATCAAAAGATATCATCACAGTCCCGCAAGAGTTAGCTTAGTTTCACTCAGTTATCAACTTAGTCAAAGAATCAAAAGATATCATCATAGTCCCACAAGAGTTAGCTTAGTTTCACTCAGTTATCAACTGTCAGTAGTCAAAGAATCCTAGAAACAGCCCTTGCCTCATGTGTCACAGAACGATGTACTCTGTACTCTGCTAGTTGTTTAATTTATCACCATTTGCCACCCTCCACCTTCTTGATCACAACTTTTGATATCAGGCGTGAACAGTTTTTTATGGGATCATTGAATTGTTTCTGATAGTTTATTTAGCAAGACTATACATTTGCTATCACTAACCTTCTAAAAGTGGCTTTTTTGGTTTTGTTTTACATTTTTCTAATCAATAATTCTTTTCTTTACAAGATATTGTAATCAATTTTTATACATTTCTCAAGGTCTTATCCATTCTTACAAGAGCTGTGTTGGAAAAGATTCCAGATGTTGATGGCAGACCTGCAGATCGACTGAGGGGAAAGTTGATGGAACTGTTTGGGAGAATAACATCAAAGGTAATGGAGTAAATACTAGCAATTCAATGTCTGATAAATTGATCTATAGGTCAGTCTAAATATCCAGCACAGTGGTTCAACCAGTGATATAAAGGATAGGTTTATTTATTAGTATTATTATTGCAGGTTTCTATTACTGGATGACAAATCAGTTTTGTCAAAACAAGTACCGGTACTCTTGTCTGTAAAAGGTGCTAACTATTTTATGTATTATGGCTGTGTTTATACAACATTAGAACATGAATAAAACTTTAGAGAACTTGTTATTGTCTGCTTTCAGGTGACATCAGAGGGAGACATTTGGGCTAATTATGCCAAGTTGAGCAGTGCCAAGATAGGAGACAAGGATCCAGAGCTTGAAAAGGTTTGACCAAAGATTTATCACGATATATGCTGATTTATCTCTTCTTAGTTGAGTTGAATGTAAAAAAAAAATGAGAAAAATTTAAGATTGATTTCTTTAAACTTTTTTAAAATTCTTAATTTGATCAATTTAGATGGATTCTTTTTCAAATTAATATAAAGCTGCTTTTAAGTCCAATTATATTTTTTATTTCTTAAAGTCTGCAATCCAGAATGAAAAAAAGTCTAGAGCCTTTGTTAGGGTTAAATTTGCTTGTCCCTACAAAAGTTAATGTGCATGAATTCATTTTTCTTAACTTAGGTGCGCCATTTGTTTTAAAATGAACACTTTAATTATTTAGATTTGATACAAATTTTTTTTTTAACAGGCCCTACAATACCTACAGAAATCCCATCGATGCTTGACTCAGAAGTTGGACTGGGAGAAAGACATTGGTGTTTGTCAAAAAGTTGCGTACCAGGCCATTGATCTAGCACAACGTAAAGTTATTTTCTTGACTTTCTTGACCATTTGCAACTTTGATCAAATTTATAGTATAGTTTATTTATTGATCAACATACATTGTTCAGGGTGATTGTGTCTTTTAATGAACTTAAGCGTTATGACCATTTGACACTCTTCCTTTTTAGTTAATCTGCACCAAGGCTTTTAATTGTTCATTGGCTGTTTCCATACAATCATAAAAAGGTTTCCTATTAGTTGGAAATATGATTTTTTTTTTATAACAGTGCACATGCAGTGTTCTGAAGGGAAGTCACAGCCAGAGGTTTTACAGCTGTTATCAGCAGCAAAGCTTATGTTGAATGGAGCTCTTGTTAAAATTCAGGTAGATGTTATATTAAGATTTACAAGTCTTTCATACCACCAAGGGGCCTTTATATATACATATCAGTCACCCATGTAGATCCAGCTATATTTTTCCCAACTCATAATTCTTTCGAATGTCACAACTTAATCCATTGTGATATAAATACGATTTTAAAAATCTGGCTCGTTCGGAATATTGACAAAATAGTACTGAACTGGCAATCTCAGATGTTTTGTATAAACAGTATAATTAATAGACGCTTGCTTGTAGAACTCATTCTTTAAATTTTCCATATGTTTAGAGTCTTAATAAAAAAAGTAACTCATTCAAACCGAAATGAAAAATATATCTATTTTTTTCCTTGCTTAAGTTTTAAAGAGTCTTAGATTCCTTGATACATTTATTTATGATTTTTTTTTATATACTTGCAATCAACATATTTTATCTTGATTAATTAACATAAAAAGTTATTTACTATGAAATATGAATAAATTAACTTTTTCTTAAAAATTGTTTTTCTTCCTCCAGAAACAACACACTGATCCCATCACCAAAGTGCTGCTAACTGAAGCAGTGGAGATGTGTCAGAAAATGGAACAGAGAAGAGATGAGATCATCTGTAAAATTGATGTCATTAGAAATGGATGATCATTTTATGACTCTGATGATGATCATTTTATGACTCTGATGATGCTTGTAATTAATTATTTGTAATTAAATGACCCCCACCAAAAAGAACAAATGTCTTTTTTTTTTTTAAATTTCTGGTTTGTTGCTAACAATTCAAATTTAAGCACTAAGAAAAAAACGTTATTTTAATGCATCTTTTGTCTTGTAACTTTGGTAGTTGGAAAGTTCATGCATTGCCGCTGTTGTTTGATGGGCTATTTCTAATATGACTAATAATAATTTTAGATGACCTGTCTCTCTCTCTCTCTGAGTCCCTTTGGTTACTGCATTTAGTAATATCAGTTGTTTTTAAAAATTATTATCTTGGTAGAGCTTAAATAGGATTATCGACGACAAAAGTCAATATAACGTCATAAATGTAATATATATAAAATTTAAGTTTTTAACTTGAAAGAGGCCATCCATATATGACGTACGCAAAACTATCGCGAATTTCCACCCCCTCCCCCCTGTTTTATTTCTAATACATTTATTTGGGACCGGCCAAATTTTTTTAAGACCTGCAAGGGACCCGCCATGTTAAATTTGATGGCGTCGCTACTGTGTATACTATATGTCTAGAAATATTAGCAAAAAAAAGTTAGAAAGAAACAGACTTATTAATAGGAATTAAAGCAGAACTCTAATTCTTTAGATCGTATTCAAACATAAACTACCTTTTCCCAAACAAAGGAAGAGTGAATAATTAAACAAGACCTAAGAACAAAGTTTATTCTGTATAAATCCTTTTTGCATTTTGTTTGCCTATATGTAATTTTACGCTTTTTATCATTTAAATTTACTAAGAAATGGTTATGTAAATGGGTAAACTTCTGGTGGAAAAATGTCTCATATTCCCTTCATTTTTCCCTTAAAAATACATTTTATTTTTACAAATACATTTTATTTTAACTCCATGCCCTAATACATCACAAATACAAAGCACATAGTAACAGCTATACAATAAATCTCCACAGCAAAACATGCAACCATTGAAAAAATCGCATGCTATTCATCTTCCCTTTGAAAAAAGGGAAAAACTGAGTTGGGGGTGGGGGTTGAAAATAACAGAATGTGTTGTCATCGGCAAGGAGTCTACGTGCCAAGTTTCAGCTCGATAGGTTGATGGGAAGTGGGTCAATTAGCATTTGGAAGATTTTACCACAACAGACCCAGAGAGAAACACACCAACAAAATTGAAGTTAATATAAAGGAATAATAATTTTAAAAAAGGATTGGCGTTTCAAATTTAATTGGTGACATCAATTTCAAAACAAAACAAAAATGGGGCGGAAAGCGGTAGTGGCCAAAGCGCTAAGTTGAGGTAAAATTCGGCCCACACACAATGTGTCATACCATAAAATCTTTCAACGATTTTTTTTTAAATTTAAAAAAATGTGTAACAGCTTTCTGGTGACTTTTTATAGCAACACATACATTGGGGGATCCCTCTATCAGACTAGCTATGAAATACACACAAGAGGTGCATATATGAAGTGGCGTCACTAGGTTTGATGTCACTCATAGAAGTGCGGTAAACTCATGGTGTCAACCTCCCACACACACTTCCACATGGACCTCATTTGAGTCTGCCTGCTCTTTTGTCATCTTGTTCTTTTATCTAACTTATAACTGTTATGAAACCGACTCAAGTGGTTCCTTCTGGTGGCACCTTCTGGCAGGGTATGACCTGGTACGGTCCACCCCCACCCCCAGTGAAGCTAGTGCTCATATGATTTGTTACACAAGATATATTTTTAGCAGCAGCATAGCCACGATTCTAACTTAAGAATTCACCTTTGTAAGGCTTAGTTCTATATTTAAGAGCCCCGGAGAAGTGACCCTTTACCCCCCCCCCCCCCCACCACATGGACAACGTCACTACCATGTCAACAAGATAAATGTGTGTTTTTTTCTACTTATATTATTGACCAGCGGTTGTCTCGGGATGCCACTGCGTATTTCTCGGGGACCCACGAAAACGGGGATGGGGGCCACAGACACAAATTAAAACTGGGAGATCATTAATTTTTTTTTAAAACTAAAAAAATGGGAGCTTGCAAAATTGTATAATTTTTAAAAAACAAATTAAAATGCAAACTGATGTGATATCATGGTTGTGAATTCTATAACTACAAGGAAGGGTGCGAATGCATGTAAACTGATGCATTCCACAAAGATATGTCAAATCTAAATTAATAAATTGATAAGAATTTTCGGATCGACAAATTTGTGCACAGCCCCCCCCCCCCCACGTCATTTGGGTAGGCCAGGGGGAGGCACCCCCGAATTTGTGTGGCGCCTCCTGTAATAAACAACTTAACAAGTCAACAATATTTTTATGGTGAATCAAATCTAAATTAATAAATTGCTAAGAATTTTTGGATCGACAAATTTGTGCCCAGCCCCCCCCCCCCACGTCATTTGGGTAGGCCAGGGGGAGGCACCCCCGAATTTGTGTGGCGCCTCCTGTAATAAACAACTTAACAAGTCAACAATATTTTTTATGGTGAATGTAAATGTTGCTTGTAACAAATAAAGTTGGGGATAAATAAATATAAGGGTGCACATATTTAAAAAAAGGATAATGCATATTCCTAATAATTAGTTGTAGTTAAAGTATATCATGCTAATTTAAACTTTGTAAGTGAATTATTTCTTTAAATTTTTGCACAATCTCGTATTTACCATAACTGCCACTTCTCGGAAGAAAAGTGCGACCGCTTACCTGCTATCTAATTAACAATCGAATTTTAATACAACACTATGTTCTTTACCACTATCAGTAAGCTACTATTAATAAGTGTTCGTTTATCATATTTATTATTTATCCATCTCGGAGAGTGCTCCATATGAACTCGGATCTCGGTAAAAAAAAATGTCGACTGCGACGTAAAATGTGTGGTTAGTTACATATTATTTTGCGTACCATGCCCATGGCTTCTCATGAAAATGAAAGTACAACTATGACTGCTGCTGCATCGCTTATTCAGGAAAACAAATTAAAAGCTGCTCAACTGCATTCTATGAATCAGCAAATTAACATCCTGGAACAAGTGAGCTATCTCTTCCCTTATAATTTGTATATTTTATAACTAAGTATAAGTTTAAGTTAATAATTAATTATTTTAAATAATAAGTTAGATAATATTATCAAAATGATAAATATTCCAATTTTGCTTCTACTTCTGGTGTGTCCTGAAGTCCTTTTCCGAAACCTTTGATTGATTAATTATGATTCATGGAAATGATCTTAAATTTAAATTGTAATCTTAAGATTGATCATTAACTTAAGTATCATATTCATATTAATTACAATTACATGCCTAGTCATAGCTAGTAAAATTTAGATAGATTTAAATATCTGAGTCTTTAAATTAACAGATTTTTTTTAAAAAATGGAACATACCATGGAACATGATTATCTATGATTATGATGATAAAATAAAAATAATTGCTGTGATTGTGTAGTAAAAATGTTTCCAATTATTCTTGAATAAAAAAGCCCCATCATTTTTTTTTCTCTTTAAATTGTTCTTATTTTATTCCTTCAACTTCAAGTAGACTGTACCTGTACTCTAGTAAATCTAAGAGTAAGAGTAAGAATAAAATCTGTCTACTACAAAATACATTTTTGTTGTTGTTTTAAAATTACTGTAATTGTAGTACTTTATCTTAGGAAGTTGAGTTGCTCAAACTTGAAAAAAAATGGTGTTTTGATGCAGAGGGAAAAAGGAAAATCCCAACAGCTGAGCAACAGGCACTCAAGATATGCCAGGAACTTGTGTTATATCCTCACCTAACTGAGGGTAAGAATAAAAATAATATGTTGTACAAGTGATTTTAAATTCTCCTGAGTCAAAATCAGAAATTCACTGGGGACATCTATTAGCAACATAATTTGCCTAAAAAGAAACAAATTTTAGTTGATTTTTACAATGCATAGACTCATAAGGGCTGGTGTAGCATAAGAAAAAAGTTTTTTGCTTAATGTATTATTGCATTATGAAATGGCGTCAGCGGGCCTTTGCACCAAAGCTCTTTATGCCTTTCCCAAAGAACACCCAAGCCTGAGTATCGGTCCACAAAGTGACACGTTGGAGGGAGATCTCCCCTGGCCAGGACAGCCTCTGCCAGCACCCACTCGATCATGTACCAGCCGAGGCCACCCCAGCCCAAGGACAGCTGGTCTGCCGGTGACGCTGCTCTCACAGCGTCAGCAGATGACTTTCACAAGGGGTCAGGATGGTATATTTGTGTCCTAAAATCTTCCCCCTCCCATCTGTGGTAAGCGTCAGGTGCCCTCTGATTGGGATTTCTACAGTGGGTTTCTACCTCACAACTAATTTTCGAAGCAGTTGGGACAAAACGATTGCCTAGGAACAGCTTTTTCAAGGCTGTATGTATTCATTTATCCTATATGTGTATAATATTGTTTTTTTATTTCAGATGTTGTCAAGGCGCTGAGAATGAAGCATATTGACTTGCAAACCAATTTGTCAGAACTGCAACTGAAGTGTGATGCCCTCAAAGAATATATGAAATAAATTGCTGTTGTAAGACAGTAATTCATCCATGACTGGTATGACAGAGTAGTGTCATAATCATAAGTTGTTAAGATAGGGAGTTCATTTTTGACAGTGGTATATAACTGATCAGTGTGATGGCTATACAATGTAAAAATGGGAGTTCATTTTTGACAGTGATAAACAAGTGTTTAGTGTGATCATTACACATTGTTAAGATTGGTAGTTTATCTGTACATAACTGAGCAGAGTGATTATTATATTAAGATGTAAAAGATAGTAAATCATTTGTTATAGTGGTATGGATACAAGACAAACAAAAATCAATGTTTATATACATATTGCATTTTATTCCATGTTATCTCTATGAAAGAGAAGTCTTTCTCATATTCAAAGCAATTTTTATTTGTTATTAATAACATGATTTGTAACATAAGTACATAATTAAAAAAACAACACTTTTTTGGGGTTTGTTCTATTTCATAACTTATTGTTATGCATGATATGCTAAGTCTGTTTACCCTTGTGAAAGCCTGATGACATAATGTATATTTTGGAAATAGTTAAGTGAAGTAATATGAAAGAACCAAAATGGTTGAAACTGACCTTATGAACTTGTTCTAAAAATACCCATTGGCAAACCATGCAAGTATACCTTATAAAGGCATAATTTTGAAAACATTTTGTATATGTCATTTAGCTCTTTCCATCCATTAATTAAAAAAATTGATAGATAATGATCTGGTGAATTAATATAATGCTGTTTCTGTTCTTTTTTTGTGTGTACAATTGACTGTTTAAAGCATAACAGTCTAAGTCATAACACTGTTCCTCAAATTATGATAAAACCTAAAGACATTTTAAATAAACAGATTTATACTTGGGTTATAACAGGCTTGACAAGTGATGACTGGGGAAACTACAACTACAATACAAAATCATTGTTGCTAGAGCCAATAATATTTTCACAGGACTACATATTTTTTCTGGGCATCTCATAAAAAATATTGAACGCCTAATTTGTAGGCTGCAGTGAATATAATGGCCTTGATATTTAAATACAGACAGAATTCCATTTTTGTTTTACATTAGGTACAACTAGTACAAGTACAAAAGGCTAAATCTGTCTTATTATTTATATTTGTGATAATAAATTAATCAAAACTGAAGAATCAATCAAAGAAAGTATTGCATTTCAATCCCAAACATCCTTACAATCTTACTGAACAAAATTATTATATGTGCTAATTCAAAGGTAACACAAGCACATGCCAAAACAAATTATTTAACAAGACTATAAACTACTTTTTATCCTCCATCATTTTCGATGGAATAGATGCTAATTAGATTTAATAATAGCTGCTGGTGCCTTTTTTTTTTAATGTCTAAGAGAGGTATAACTATAAATGAGAAGGAATAAGAAAACCATATCGCTGTAAGAATATCTACCACCTCATGCAATAAGAAATAAATCTCAGGTTTCTACAGATGTAAGTTTGCCCTGTCGTTAGTGTCAAGAGAGGTCACCAAGGTCAACAACTTTCTTAGCTCCTAGTTTCATTGCGCCAGTGCCTTTTCTCGCCTCCCTTTTTTCCTGGAGCTCTTTTTGTCTTTGTCGTTTCTTTTCCTCTTTATCTCTCTTTAATCGCTCTGCTTGGGATTCCTTGCTCTCTGTATCTTTTTTAAAGAAAAAAAGTTATATTAAATCAAATAGAGAAGCAATTCAATCAACAACAGTGGAAAACTTCTAAGACATAAAATACAAATTTAGACTGTTTATTCGTTGTGTTAAAAAAGGAACTAAAAACTTTTGGCGATTGCCCTAGAATTGTTCCTTCTCCTGATTATGTTCCCAGCACTGTTGCAACTCTTACTTGGAGCAGACTATGGTTAAAAGTTTAAAGACCTCAAATATCGCAAGAATTCTTTTAAAGAATTTAATACCCTTTGAGCTCTTTTAATTTATGTCAAGCAATTATTAGAGTACATACAAAAAATGTGAAAGGATGCGTGAGGCAACTATTAAAGTAAATCAAATAAATATGTGAAAGGATGCGTCAAGAAGATCAAATAAATATGTGAAAGGATGCGTCAAGAAGATCAAATAAATATGTGAAAGGATGCGTCAAGTAGATCAAATAAATATGTGAAAGGATGCGTCAAGTAGATCAAATAAAAATGTGAAATGATGCGTCAAGTAATTTAATAGAGTGGATTAAATAAATATGTGAAAGGATGCATCAAGTAATTATTAGAGTGGATCAAATTTACGTGAAAGGATGCGTCAAGTAATTATTAGAGTGGAACAAATTTATGTGTGAAAGGATGTGTCAAGTAGATCAAATAAATATGTGAAAGGTAGCGTTAAAGTCGCAGCAGATTTTTACCTCCCAGGCTATCCCACTTGTCCTCTCCCCATCCAGCACCATCATCCCATCCGCTCGCACTGCCTTGACCGACGCCCTGGTCCCCATCATCTAGCTTTGAAAAACCTCTAGAAGTTTTAGATTTTGAGGCTGGCTCCGACGGTTTCTGACTGGCAGGGCTGGTTCTGGTCGGAGTGGTTTCTCTTACTGGAGTGTTGGACTTGGAGCGCTGTTTCCCAGGACCCTGAGGTCAGGATAAAACAAAAATTAAACATAACTGATTGATTTTTTATATGATTCTTATAGGAGAGACATAGATGTCATTTTACAAGTTGGTCCAATTCATTTATAATGCCCGGAGGGAAGCCACATACTGGTAGTAAAAAAAAAAAAGTAGCTTCTTAAGTGTGGCACATTACATTCATTTTTCATTCAATAAGTCTAAACTACAGTTACCACCATTGATACGAAGAAGTCATCATCGGTTCCTCCCCCGCTCCAGTCATAAGAATCAGTTGTGGGAAGACCTGTGTGTCGAGTAGAGACAAATTCATCTGGTTTCGGCTTGAGCTTTGCCAATAAATCAGGCTCTTCAACCGGTTGTGGTTTCTTTGAAGAAAAAAAATGAATGGAGAAAAAAGAAAACCAAACGTTTGCTTAAGTTAAAATTATTTAATACCGTATAGCAATAGCATGATTCACTGATCTCTAGAGACTAGCTACAAAACTGATTTCAGGAATTGAATAACTTTCAAATCTAGACACTGGTAGTTTCTTTACAATTACAAGTAAAATGACCCAACGGTTTCACTTCATGTCTAAAATTAACAAAATATTATACTGTTTATTATAAGTTACTGGTATTTTAAAATTTACAACATTTACAACAAAAAAAATTGAAATTTTACACTGCTAACTTTGGTCACTTGAGTGTCCTCAATACTACCCCAGTTATCATCATCATCCCAATCAGCTTCTTTCTCTGTATCTCCTTCTGTGTTGATGACAGCACTAGAATCCTAAAGTAATTATGGAAAACAAAAAAAAATTCAACGACACAATAAGAAAGCCAATATCAGATATTAGTAAAAATTACTGAGCAGTCTGACTCATGAAGTCCAAAGGGCAGCAGAAAAAAAGGACAGCGGCATAACACTTGACAAAGAGATAAGTGAAAAGTGAGATAAGGTAATCAAGAATACCTCAACAGGGAAATGGATTAAAATAAATTGCAAAGCTTCCACACTCCACAAGGAGGCTAAGAAGTAGAAGAATGTAGCAATTTATGACACGTGCCAGAATTTTTTCAGTGTCTAGTGTTCAGATCAAACTTTTCAATTTTATGAATTGTAGCCGCTAAATTAGTTTTACATGTAATTTTTTACATTCTGACAGTAAATGTATAAAATTTCATAAGGGATTTAACTGCATGTGGCAGTACTTTTGTGTGAGAATGACATGTTCCACATAACTGAGCAATGACTTAATTAACAGATAACATAAACCACACAACAATAAATCATAATAGAGAATTAAACACACACACTGATCCTCTTACATCTAAATATGACACACTGATCCTCTTACATCTAAATCTGACACACTGATCCTCTTACATCTAACTCTGACACACTGATCCTCTTACATCTAAATCTGACACACTGATCCTCTTACATCTAAATCTGACACACTGATCCTCTTACATCTAAATCTGACACACTGATCCTCTTACATCTAAATCTGACACACTGATCCTCTTACATCTAAATCTGACACACTGATCCTCTTACATCTAAATCTGACACACTGATCCTCTTACATCTAAATCTGACACACTGATCCTCTTACATCTAAATCTGACACACTGATCCTCTTACATCTAAATCTGACACACTGATCCTCTTACATCTAAATCTGACACACTGATCCTCTTACATCTAAATCTGACACACTGATCCTCTTACATCTAAATCTGACACACTGATCCTCTTACATCTAAATCTCCCCAGTCGTCTTCCTCCCATCCATCCCCTGCTCCTCTGTCCTTATCATCATCTGCCTTGTCATCCACAGTACTAACTGGTGAAGTACGAAGCGGTGCGGCTGTTGGGGTGGCTGCGCTTGGTTTGTGGGCTGGGACCTGTGGAGGCTTACTGGCTGCTGCGGCTGGCTTGGGGGCTTCAAAAAGTTATAGATAATATAATAAACATAAACAATCTGAACGCAAGGTCTATTATTAGAGAAGGTGTTCTCAAATAAAAATCCATAACAAATATTATATTTTTTACCATCCTCTTGCTCTAATTTAATATACAGACTTGACCAAAATATCAACAGGTTACCCTTGGCTAAACTATGTATAAGGGTATTCTTTAGTATAAAATTGGTTTAAAGAGAGGAAAGCATAATTATTCCCCCCCCCCCCCCCCCCTTGCATTTAAACACATCTCAAAAAAGGCGTGGACAGCAATGTAAAGCTTTATTAAATGAAAGCTTTAATTAAATTCATTGTGCAAAGTACACTGATGTTATGATTTTGGCACAAATAAATTGACTTAAAAGTTAAGCACATTATTTGACTTATCAGTGGATACATTTGGTTTCCCTGTTAGTGTATCAGCGTCAGACTGTTGGATTATTGATATTTACCTCCCTACCTCCCATGACTCATGTTAAAGGAACATACCCGCTGTCTCCCCTTGTGATTTTGCAGTGGCTGATTTACTGTAGATCTTTGATGTAAGGGAGGTCATTCCTGTGACAGCCCATCCTGCCCAGCCTGAGGCAGACGCTGCACTCACTGTGCCTGACATCACTTCTTTATCTACGGATTAGAATCAAAATTATCACAAGTTTCAATCAATACAAATTTCATCAAAACTTTGTCAATAATCCCAGTAAAAAAAAATACCTTGTTTATATGACCTTTGGACCCAAAAAATAAGTAAATAAATAAGTATTTTTAATCTGTTCATGTCAATTTATTTTAAAAAAATAGAATTATGGAATCCCAAAATATAATAATCACTTTGAAATTATCAGATATCTTTTCAGTTTAAACATAACATTGTGATTAAAATCTTATTATGGCTCTAGTTATTATAATTTGAATAATTTTCAAAACGTACCATACTCCTCTTCTAGCTCTGGATTCTCAGAAACCTTTTCTAACTTTGCCAGAAAACCTTTTATTGTTTTGAAAGCCTGAAAGAGATGGAAATGATACTTTCAAAATACTTTTAAATGTTATAAAAAATAAAAATGCCAACATTTTCTCTCATAATCAAAATATTTGCTTTCCCTCAGAACAAAAAAAAAAAGGGGGTAGTAAAAAATAATTGACGAACTCTGAGCTTGATCTGACCATCTGTGTTTTTATTTAGAGCAGTAGTCTTAAAAATACCCAAGTCTGTGGGTCAATTGAACAACTATTGACATATATATAACAAATATCTTTATCTTGATTTAACAACAAAAACTGTTGCGAGACCAATGTCTGGACCATTAATCTGGAATGATTCTACAATGGGGGGTTAAATAACAGAGAAATATTTTATAGGCTATGAAGTGTGGGGTTTGATAACAGAGAAATATTTTAAAGGCTATTGACTTTTTATGAATATTTCTTGCTACCTGATCTCTGACTCCCTTGTCTGGATCTCGGATTAAGGGACAGAGCGATGGAAGTAATCGTGACGCCACCTCAGACATGTTGTAAAAATTCTGGGTGGCGGCAATGCCAAGTATACCAGCTTGCCTTGCGGGAGGAAATGGATCCTTCATGGCTCGCACAAATGCTGAACATAAAATTTTCTGTCTTATCTGGGAAATAAGTCGTTAGATAACTGAAAGGTAAAGACACTGAAGGATATGGACAGCTAGTTTCCATAGGATTCATAAAAAAAAAAAAATCCCAAAATTATTGTATGATTATAACAATAAGAAATTAAGAAGTCTTAAGCTGTATGAGGTAGAAGTCAGAATGATTAACAGTATTAATTTTGACAAACCTATTTCGGCCTTTTATATAACTGACTTACTGATGGATTGATGTAGCAAGCAATCTTTCCTAGACACACCGTTGTGTTTGTCCTGATGCCACCCTGTTCATTCAAATATAATACTCTTGATACATACAACTAATTTCATTGATACTAAAATATTCAAATAAATAACGATTTTCTTGAATGGTTTTAATTTTGAATAACTTTGGAACTGTGGCATAACTATGATGTTCTTAATCCTAGCAGCACAACATTTATATACTGGCCTTCAACATTGATATTTAAACCAATGGATAATTTTGAGAAATACCAAGTAAATTAATGTAAAATGTTACATAACTTTATTAGCATTTTGACAGTTAGTGGGTCCCCAATATTGTCAATGATTAAATGTCAATGTTCGTGAATCGGGTGACCTGTACCACATCCTCTCACCTGGTCATCTATTGTCAATGGTTATATGTCTATGTTCATGAATCAGGTGACCTGTTCCCCATCCTCTCACCTGGTCATCTATTGTCAATGATTAAATGTCTATGTCTATGAATTAGGTGACCTGTGCCCCATCCTCTCACCTGGTCGTCTTTTGCCTGTAGCCTTGCAAACTGTCTCATCAGCTCCTCGTTCAGATTTTTGTAATTCAGTTTGGGGGCTAAATGAAGCATGGCCTGAACAATTGCATAAAAGAGAAGGCAATTATAGCTTTGGACTTTAGGCATTGATAGGTTTTGACCTTTGGTATACACAATTGATATATTGGTACTGGTATACGAAATTGATATATTGGTACTGGTATAAAAAATTGATATATTGGTACTGGTATACAAAATTGATATATTGGCACTGGTATACAAAAATGATATATTGGTAACGGTCTACAGAATTGATATATTGGTACCGGTCTACAGAAATGATATATTGGTACCGGTCTACAGAATTGATATATTGGTACCGGTATACAGAATTGATATATTGGTACCGGTCTACAGAATTGATATATTGATACCGGTCTACAAAAGTGATATATTGGTACTGGTATCCAAATCTGATATATTCGTACCGGTCTACAAAACTGATATTGGTACAGATCTACAAAATTGATATATTGGTACCGGTAAACAAAACTTGAGTGAGTTCCTTTTCTAGCAGCTTGTTTAAGAGGCATTAAAAGTTCATATTTATTATTATTATCATTTGAGAATTTCATGCAGAAAATGTAGAAAGAATAAACAAAATGTAGATCATTAATATACTAAATTACAAGCTATCATTCTTATAATGAAGTACAAGCTATTATTTATATACTGAAGTACAAGCTATCATAATTTATACTAAATTACAAGCTATCATTTTCATATTAAATAACAAGCTATCATTCTTATAATGAATTACAAGCTATCATTTTCATATTGAATTACAAGCTATCATTTTTATAATGAATGACAAGCTATCAATCTTATCATTTTTATAATGAATGACAAGCTATCATACTTATAATGATTTACAAGCTATCAATCTTATAATGAATTGCAAGCTATCATTTTTATACAAAATTACAAGCTATCATTCTTATAATGAATGACAAGCTATCACTCTTATACAGAATTACAAGCTATCATTCTTATACTGAATTACAAGCTATCATTTTTATACTGAATTACAAGCTATCACTCTTTTAATGAATTACAATCTATCATTTTCATTACTGAATTACAAGCTATCACTCTTTTACTGAATTACAAGCTATAATTTTTATACTGAATTACAAGCTATCACTCTTTTACTGAATAACAAGCTAAATTTCTATATTTTAAATATCTTCTAAGTCTCTCGTAAATAATTTTTTTAAATTTAAGATTTTACTTCTAACTAAATTTTTTATTTTTTTATTTTTAAAGAACCCTTCAAGTTATTACACAATTTAGGCAGACTAAAAAATGTTTACATTGACTTTAGTTTTATATTGTTTCATTGTTTTTTTCTATGGCAGCTGTAACTTTCTCATTGGTCTATAGATATATATATATACAATATATATACATTTAAATTACAGCTTTTTTTGCATGAATATCATTTTTTTTTTTCACTCGGCATCAGCATGCTATATTTTATTTGGTTAGTGAGCTTTCTGTCAGCATATCAAACATAAAACTTTGGTAGAGAGAGTTGAGATTATTCTTACTTTGATGGTGCACTCTCTAACCATAGGATTCGTGTCCATAAAACCACTGTTGACATGTACAAAGATTTGATCATTCACTGTACTGCTTTGGAGATGCTCGGCAAAAAACTCAATCTGAAATGCAATATAAAAAAATTAAATAGTTAAAAATCAACCATTTCAATTTAGTCTTTTCATTTTTTAACTTGGAAACAGAGAGAGGAGTTACAATGACATATGATTCCTCTAAAATCATCATCAAACAATAACAAAGACCATTGTTAAAAATGTACTTGTTGATTAAAAAAAAAACCTGGACGCATTCAAATAAATACATTTTGTATAGATAATAGATAATTTAGAGATCCAGTGTTGTGTTCATTATAGATGTGAGCAATAATTTAGAGATCCAGTGTTATGTTCATTATGCAACTTATGGTCACAGTACTCTGGCTGTGTTTCAAAATAGATATAAAAATACACAAATTTCAACCCATTCCCATTTGCTTGGTAAAAAAAGCAGACAGATATGTCTACAGGTGCAAAATGCAACATATTACAAGAGTTACTTCGGGGATAGAAATATGATACCCAGTAACTGGAAAGATTTTGTACAACTAACCTGTTGTAGTAGTTTGACTCTTGTTGCCCTGTCTGGAGAGGTAAACAATTTGACAACACATGGGACTATTTTTTTCTGGTATTCATCTGCATCTAAATGTTTGCCTATCTGGAAAATGGAAGAAAAAAAAGTCAACATATGTAATCTGTTAATCCTTGACTAATAAACATGTAAGAATGTTTGATTAAAGTTTAGATTATGGCGTATTTAATTAAAGAAAAACCCATCAATCATTATAATTCTAATAATCTAAAAAATGATTACATTAGAGCACAGTAATGAAATCGTTCCTAAATACTTGTAACTAGGAGTGGATTATTTTCAAACCAACTTTAAACATTGGTGCTAAAATTGATGATCCTGCATTTCCATACTCGAAGGCATGAAGCAGCTGTGGAAGAATTTTGTTGCGACAGAAAAGTGGTGGAAATGTGTCAAGAGACGGCGTCAGGCTGGCAAAAAACTTATTCTTTTCTGCTTGGTCTTTTATCTGGAATTATAAAATGACAACTCTGATTAATCTTTCTGCCTAAACCAAATTATTAATCAAAGGCCGTTAGTAATAATAACAACAAATGAACGAAAATAAATTTCTTATTAAAAATGAAAAAAAAATAAGTAAAGAATTTTATTTTTATTTCTTATTACATTTTTATGATAAATAAATAAATATAATGGTGAAACTATTCTTATTAGAAAAGTAAATTCTGTAGTAATTTAAAAGAAAAAAGTTACTAGAATCATCCATACAAACCTGGATTTCTTCTAGAAACATCATTGAATCCACAAACGTGTTACGCATAAATCCACCTTTTTGTCTGCAGTTCTCAATAAATTTTGCTGGATTTGGTCTGGATCGTGGATTAGCACCCACAAGCTCACAGTAATGGGCTATCAAGCTCTGAGGTATCTAAAGTTGTAAAAAATGTAAAACCAAAAATGTGTTTTTATTTCTCTATCCAGATTGTGATTTACTTTTTCACTTTCATTGCTGTATAATAATTTGAAAGCACAAGAATAGATAAGAAATTAATAAATAAAAAATTAAAAACTAGATTTTAAAAAGCATAAGAATCTCCAATGCACCAGAGTTAGACACTGAAACATAGGTAATATCTCTTGCATCTGCCAACTTAAATAAAACCGAAATCTCACAATCTATTAAACTTACCTTCCCTGGAGATTTAAGGGCCGGTGTACGAGGCAGAGTCCCATTAAACACTTCCCATATAAGACATCCTAAGCCCCACATGTCTGCTGACCTAAATCAATGGTATAAATTTTACTGACTAGCAAATAAACAGCCAATGTGTCGCAAAATACGAACTTATTTTTTTTATACACATACAAATTAATAAATTAAATCAAACAGTGAAAGGAGAAACTAAATAATCTAGATATAAGATTAATTATTCTTATTTAAAGTCACTTAAAATGTTACTAGTGTTATTGCAACATACAGTTATATGGAAAATAACCCAAACAAAGTATGGGAAAACCTGAAATTTGTGTTATCTGTAGTTTTAAAATTTGGCTCGTTAGATGAACGATACATAGCAGCACGTGTCATCAAGTTAATTGGTGACGCCAATAACAAAAACAAAAGAGGAGGTAAGGTTGCATGCCACAGCTCAACAGCAATGAGCCAACTCAATCTTATTGATCCAGCCATGAGCCCGAACTAAGGGAAACCAGAACCATGAAAAATAGTGATTACCATTTCTCTCCCTTGACATTTTTCCCCTCTGCCTTTTCAGGAGAGTCATATCTTTCTAGCAGTGGCAAGATTTTAACCGGAGGTACGCTGTCGGGTCCCTGTGCCGGATACATGTAGTCGACTCCACCAAGCTTCCATTCTCCGGCTGGGTCAACGAAGACAGAGGCCATGCACACATTGTTGTGTATCAAGTTACAATCGTTTACCAAGAAAGCAAGACCTTTCTGAAGGGGAGGAGAGGACAAGATGCTAAAGATTGAGTTTTCTAGGTCATTTCAAGAAAAAATTAAAATTTGCAGAATTCTTCTTCTCAGCCTTGTAGAGTTATCAATAAAAGAGCAAAAATATATTTAAAATTATCTGTATTGTTACAATGTCAAAGTTATTTTGAAGGATGAACATATTAACTGATACTGATACTTACATTATAATATTAACTGATGGCTTTAAACAACTGTTTCCAAACTATAATTGCATAAAACATCATAAACAGATTTTACCAACCACAATTTGGTGGAGACCCCAAGAAATGGCAATCTCATTGTGCCCATCACTGTCATTTTCTCGCAGGTAAGTTTCTAAAGGCACAACTGGCTCAGTAGCTAAGTATATCACTTTATCTGTCTAAAAGAAATGAATTCTTATGTTAGAATGTAGAAAATTAATTCATGCATACAATAATTTAAGACCCCAAAGAAAAACCAAGTGCTATCTCTTAAGTTTAGTTATTTTTTTATGAGCCATACTTAGATACCTCAATTCCATCTAGAAATGTCAAAATGTTGGGGTGACGTAAGGTTTTAAGTCTTTTCAAAGACGTTTTTGCAGTCTGGATTAAAACATCACTTGAACCTTTGACATCAAATGCAAAGATGGACACTGGATCCCCAGATCCCTATTTAAAAGAAATTATAGGACCAAGAAGATTAATAAAAGACCTAATCTATTATAAGGTAAATTTGTGTAATTTATATCACAAATTCTATAAATTTAACGCCTTTAAATCAATTTAAAAAAAAAATAATATACTATAATATAATATATATAGAGCTATGCAATTAAGTAAGTTATGGATGAAATAGTAAAATCTTATAGCCTTTTGTCCAAGGGCAATTTGACACATAAAAGATATAAAATATAAACATTTCATTATGAACACTTAATTTTAGAGCACTTTATTTACTTTTATAAATATAAATCGCACACAGTGAAACCGTGACGTCAGCTCAACAAGTTGATCATGAGTCAACCCGGGGGAATGGTCATTCATGTGTGTAAATAAACAAACATAAAATTTAAGGCCCATTACACAGCTGTCTGTTTTTCAAATTTCTATGGGTGTGTACATGCCTGGGTCTACCCACAGCAGTTACACTAAGAAAGTTTACTCTCTTATTCCTATCAGTGGGCGCACAGCCTGGGTCTACCCACAGCAGTTACACTAAGAAAGTTTACTCTCTTATTCCTATCAGTGGCGCACAGCCTGGGTCTACCCACAGCAGTTACACTAAGAAAGTTTACTCTCTTATTCCTATCAGTGGCGCACAGCTTGGGTCTACCCACAGCAGTTACACTAAGAAAGTTTACTCTCTTATTCCTATCAGTGGCGCACAGCCACAATATTTTTCCCTTAATGTAAGTTTTATTCTGCAATTGTGAATTATAGGATAAAAAAAGGCAGGTAATTTGAAATTATCTATCCTTACGGTAGCATGAAGAGCTCTTTTTCTTCTTCCCACTAATTTGTGTGTGTGTGTGTGGGGGAGGATAATGTGGGGTGAATAAATGCTTGGGAAGCACTGTCGTAAGTGTATTAAAACTGTGTCATGGGCCCAACACCTTTTTTTTGCAAATGTATCTGCTTGGTTCAGTCCAACAAAATATTTACATCACAAATACGTCACAGATTCATGTTAGGTGGACTTGAAGTTATCCAAGGCTAACAATTAACACAAAGCAACAGTGGGATGATAAATTCCATCTAGAAATGTCAAAATGTGAGGGTTATTTTTTTAAAGACTTTTAACAATAACTATCATGGATCTCACAGATTTTAAGTGAAAGTTGGCTTTATTAGAGATATTGTAGAGTGTAAGAAATTCAGAATAAATAATTATTTAATGTACATACTTTTTGTCACCCCCCCTCCCATGAACCAGTATACAAAAAATCAACAACTCGCCTCCTCCACAAGGTGTACGTAATATATAGATAAACCCAAATCATACACATCTTGTTCACGTTAAGACACTTTAATCGACACATAAAATTTACTTTAATTGTTACAAATTTAAAAAAAAATAATACTGTTTTTAAAAATGAACAAAATAATATTATAAAATATAATTTTAATTAAGATGAACAAAAAGAATGTTCAGGCCTAGTAAAAACTGATCAGCATCTAGGAATTGATCTCCAAATAAGATATCCTTTAGCTGTTTACTCTACCACAAGCCACAAGACCAAAAACGTCGACAAATGATCATAAGTAACAGCTATATCTCAAGAGCAGGCCAATGGTAATTTTTTTAAAAGGTTACGCAGATCTAGGTCCATGGTTTTGCTTGGTACCGGTACACCACTACGGTGTATGCAATCACTTCATATAATAATTAATCAGCCTTTCTACTTTCTTAACTTATCATACTATTATTGTTATGTTGGAAGAGTCTACATGTCCAGCGACCGGATGAATAAGTTCTCAAGATATTCGTCCGGCCATTACATATGCAAGATATTTGTTCGCCAGCCTTGTCATGTGACCGCTAAAAGCCGATCAGAGTTTACGGTAGTTCATTTCAACAAATTCAAGATAGTCTGGACATTTACATGAAAAAGAAATATGTTCAATTCTGCAAAAGAAATACTAAAACCTTTGCTGGTATATATAATGATAATGAACAAACAGTTAAAAAGTGACAATGTTAAATAAAGCGTGAGATAAAAAATTGGCTGGTCCACTGCACCGGCATCAAACAGAATCTCGTTCACCTAGACGGCGATGAGGCCACAACAAGAACAAAGTACAGGAGCTCCTCATTCCTGCCGAAGACAATAGGGGACTGGAACAAGATTCCAAAAGCAACAGTTGTGTCTATTGCCTCCTGTATTCCAACCCCCAGTTTGTAACACCACTGCTGAGTAGCCCTTGCAACCAGTGAAGTATCCCCTTGAAAACCATGCACAGTAACATCACGAACCCCTCTAAAACATAGGAGCAAGAATGATCAATTCATTGATCGTGGGCCCTCAAAATAAAGAAGAAAGAAGAAGTGACATGCATGCCAGATGAATATCTCCCGAACTATTTGTCTGGTCGCCGGACGTGTGGACGCTGCCTGTTAATAACTAATTACTCATTAAAATTATGTGGGGTAGGCCTACCCTACCATCTATTAGTGACTGCCTCAGTAGCCAGTAGTACTGCCAGTGACTATGACTATGACTATGACTAAGTACTAGGACTAGTAGAGTGTCACGAATGAGTAAAAGTAGAAGTAGCCAAGTAGATAGAAATTAGAGTACTAACTGAAGTGCCTGAACCGAAAGTAAAAATTAAAAAAAAAGATTTAAAGTAGGGACTAACTAGAGTAACTAGATCCAGGACTACTATGACTAGGGCCAGGGCCAGGGCTAGCGGCTAGTGTTAGTGTTAGGGCCTAGTCCTAGGGCCAGGGCCAGGGACTAACCTTTTTCTTTCCTCTATGTAAAGTCCATATTGATTTATCTTCCAGACCAGGGACTTTTTCTCCTATCTCATAATGAAAGTCTTTGGCTGGATCGCGGCTAAAAAATGACCACATTATTAATTATACCCATAAAAACTTAATTTTCATAAGTGAATAAGTTACGAGTAGCATTAAAAAGTTAGGAAGTTGACGTTGCTTCTATACGTGGAATGGAGAGTGATTTCCCTTGTGCCTTGTAATTGCCGAAAATAAACTTTTTAATGAGAATATTATGACTGAAAATGCTATATTTTATCTTCTTAATTTATGAAATATTCAAATATATTAAATTAAAATAAAATAAATATAAGTAAAATAATTTAGGCCAACTGGTTTATTTTTGCGACAATCATTAACAAAGTTGTCTACCATTGATACAAAATGGCGGCTCCAAGCGCTTTCCCGACGCCACTGGTTATGCGCTTATTGGCAGCATCAGTATCGGTTTCATACAAAGCTGGTAACATAATCAGAGACATTTTAAAGACCGGTGATCTTGGAATTATAGAAAAGGTATATATTACTCAGTCTTTTATTGCATTAACTTAATTGTGTTTTTAATTTTTGTCTATTGATATTATTTAGTAGATACTTTGGTCAAAAATTTAAACATTTTGTAAAAATAAACCAATGGCATAGTTGAATAGAGCTAAATTTTTACAGAATTATAACACCAAAATTATATTTTTAGCTGTTGTAGTTTTAAAGTTATGAATTTTTAAAGTACGACTTGGTTTGTCCTTTTTTAACATGGACTGCATCTCCACATTCTGTGACCTCATTCCGCCGATCGCGTCATGCGCAATGACTATATAGTTTATATAAGGCTAAGGCATTCCCTTATCACTAAAATACTGTTTAGGGTCGATTTATTTTAAACTTTCAACTTTGGCACATGAATAATTAATTAAAGCTTTCCCTGACCAATGGTTTAATAGTTTTTGCACACGGCAAACACTTATGAATGAAACTCTGAGATAGTACTACGATATAGCCGTTATGCAAGTGGCTGTGAATGGTTGCCAATGACAACGTGTTGCACACGGAAATTTCTGATCATTTATAATATGGACTCTACAGGGTTTTTAAAGCTCAAATTAAAACATTCCAGTTTAAATGTCTTCAAAATGCATTCTGAAACACAAGTTATCAAATATTTTGATGTATATAGTGGTAATAATTAAATATTTCTTAAGTATCGGCAACTTAAACACTTATGAATGAAACTCTGAGATAGTACTACGATATAGCCGTTATGCAAGTGGCTGTGAATGGTTGCCAATGACAACGTGTTGCACACGGAAATTTCTGATCATTTATAATATGGACTCTACAGGGTTTTTAAAGCTCAAATTAAAACATTCCAGTTTAAATGTCTTCAAAATGCATTCTGAAACACAAGTTATCAAATATTTTGATGTATATAGTGGTAATAATTAAATATTTCTTAAGTATCGGCAACTTCCGCCATTAAAAAGGGGGCGTGGCCCACGCCATGTCAAAATAAGGCGAAGCCCCCTTATGGTGATATGGGTCACTGGGAGAAGCGTAGCGAATGTGGGACACGACCTACATCAATGAGAATTGGCACAGATATATATCAATATCTAATGCCTTACACGATTTAATATGAAAGACATGTTCCTTTTATTTCACAAAAAATTTGTATTCGAAGATGCCTTATATATACACCAAAGATTTTCAAAATGAAGGTCCATTGAAAAAAGCAAAATAGCTGGATGGAAATGTAGGCCAAGATGTCTTCCAAATTATAAGGCCTGAAATGGAACTCAAATATATGTCGAAATAATTAATTTAATAATAAATAGACACACACATCGGAAAATTAAAAACTCAGATTTTTCGGCGCCGACGCCCATTTCCGATACAAAAAAATCTAGTAGTCTCCCTTGTTTTATAGAAGTATCTATATATCGACTGTTCTAGATACTTTGGTCAAAAATTTTAACATTTTGTAAAAATAAACTAATGGCATAATTGAATAAAGCTAAATTTTTACAGAATTATAACACCAAAATCATATTTTTAGCTGTTATAGTTTAAAGTTATACATTTTTAAAGTACGACTTGGTTTGTCATTTTTTAACATGGACTGCATCTCCAAATTCTGTGACCTCATTCCGCCGATCGCGTCATTCGCAATGACTATATAGTTTATATAAGGCTAAGGCATTCCCTTATCACTAAAATACTGTTTAGGGTCGACTTATTTTAAACGTTCAACTTTGGCACATGAATAATTAATTACAGCTTTCCCTGACCAATGGTTTAATAGTTTTTGCACACGGCAAACTCTTATGAATGAAACTCTGAGATAGTACTACGATATAGCCGTTATGCAGGTGGCTGTGAATGGTTGCCAATGACATTGTGTTGCACACGGAAAATTCTGATCATTTATAATATGGACTCTACAGGGTTTTTAAAGCTCAAATTAAAACATTCCAGTTTAAATGTCTTCAAAATGCATTCTGAAACACAAGTTATCAAATATTTTGATGTATATAGTGGTAATAATTAAATATTTCTTAAGTATCAGCAACTTCCGCCATTAAAAAGGGGGCGTGGCCCACGCCATGTCAAAATAAGACTGAGCCCCCTTATGGTGATATGGGTCACTGGGAGAAGTGTAGCGAATGTGGGACACGACCTACATCAATGAGAATTGGCACAGATATATATCAATATCTAATGCCTTACACGATTTAATATGAAAGACATGTTCCTTTTATTTCACAAAAAATTTGTATTCGAAGATGCCTTATATATACACCAAAGATTTTCAAAATGAAGGTCCATTGAAAAAAGCAAAATAGCTGGATGGAAATGTAGGCCAAGATGTCTTCCAAATTATAAGGCCTGAAATGGAACTCAAATATATGTCGAAATAATTAATTTAATAATAAATAGACACACACATCGGAAAATTAAAAACTCGGATTTTTCGGCGCCGACGTCCATTTCCGATACACAAAAAGTAGTAGTTTCCCTTGTTTTATCGAAGTATCTAGACTGTACTGTAGACACTTCACTGAAGTCTGTGTGTAGTACTGCCATCATTTAAGGACACTCACACCGATCCCTGGCCAAGGCTCATGATTTCATTAATTGATTTAGGGGCTAATGCTAAGAGATGTCGCCATGTCATCAATTGCGTGTTCAGTTAAGTTTCTGTTTTGGATTCACTCCCCTTATTTTTTGTTAATAAATAAATAGAGTTACATTTTCATTAATATGACGATGGCACGTTTTAATTACATTTTTTGTTGATTAATTATAATTTTAAAATTTCATCGGTTGGCTAATTATAATATTTTTATGTGTTTCGCCATTTTGAAATGACTTGTTCATGGCAGATCTTGTATTTTTATTAATTTTGTGGATATTATTTTCGGTGCAACCTGAAATAAAGTGTGTAAAAGTGTATTCCATGAAAATCTAAGCTGGGTTTTCATTATTTCTTTATTTTATAATTATTTTTGGCCATTTTTTAAATTATTTTTGTTCATTTCCTAGTTTTCAAGGTCAAAACCGAAATGGAGAGGGTCAAAACCCTGGTTCCAATAGGGTCAAAATCCAGGTTAGGGATAAATTTAGGGTTCAGGTTAGGTTTAGGGATTGATTTAGGTTTCAGGTTAGGTTTAGGGATACATTTAGGACATTTTTTCATCAATTTTTAACGTTTTATTCCTAATTTCAGCAAACGTGAGTTATTTTTTCATGGTCCCCATCTTGGTTTCCGCGACCTGTGAACCCGTCATGTTCACAGGTCGCTGCAACCAAGATGGCGGCCGCGTTATACATCACGGCTACATCTCTTCGCATTTACCGATTTAGGTACTTACGTAAAAAAATTAATTTACATATAACATTTATATAGAGAAAACTTTTAAAAATATGAAACCTTAATGACCTTTCTAGCTTTATTACTTATTGAGTTATGGATGTTTAAATTCCGAGTTAACTGTAACTTGTAACTTAATTATGTATCACTATGTTTATGGACCATGGACTACACCTCCAGATTTTGTGACCCTATTCTTTCTGCTTATAGCATCATGCGCAATAACTTTTATTAAAATGATAATTATGTACAACTTTTATTTTCATTTTTCATGATTAAACATTAATTAGTTATTTAAAGTTCTAACAAATTTATGAAATATAAATAAATAAAAAAAATTATAGCTTGTTTAGCTATGTAACTTTTAACAATAGTAATATGCATTATTATATTAATTACAATATGGATGTTCTGTTTGCCAATTCTAGAGTCCATTATATATATATATATAAATATAAAATATTTTGAAGTAAATAGTGGTAATAATTGAATATTTCCTAAGTATTGGCATCTTCCGCCATTAAAAAGGTGTGTGGTCAAAATTGGGCTGAGCAAACTTATGTTAATGCAGGTCACTGGGACGAGCATACGGAACACTGGACATGTCCTACAACAAAGAGCATTGGCATACATATACATCAATATATAATGCTTTTCATTATTATTATAAAAGATGTATTAAAGATCTCTTAAATATGAATTTCCAAAATTAAGGTTGATCAAAAAATGCAAAACAGTACTTTGGAATGAAGGTCAAGGTGTCCCCTATTGTGAATGTTTTGGAAGAATACCACAATTTTATGACAAAATAGTCCTTTCATTAATGAAAAACCAACAACTTATAAAAATTAAAAACTTGGATTTGGATTCTTCTGCTGCGATTTCAATTTCCCATAATCTTTTTTTGAAGTAGTCTCCCTTGCTTTACCAAAGTACCCACAATGTTTCAATTACTATTCATTAAGTTCATTATCATCAGATCTGGAGATCATCGTAATTCCTACTTCTTTATTGCTTAAATTTATGTTACATCAATTTTCATATTTTCACTTTTAGAGGACATCTTGTCTTACATTCCTCACCATTTTGTTTGATTTCATATTGCATCCTAATATATATTTTATATAGGATTGGAAAATGGTTATTACATCCTGGAACTCACATTTTCAAATTAATTGAATAACAAGCCTAAGAAGAGAATCTTTTTAATTATTTCTGCACATTGTAGCCTATTGTATTGGAATATACCATAGCGTTAAATGGTAAACCATAATACTGGAGTAAGGGTCTCAGAATGGAAAGTGGTGGTAACTGAAACTTGCAATAATTGTGCCCAGGATTGCCCGGCCAGGAACGTTTTGAGTTGCCTACTTGGTCATCATCATGAATGATCTTGATAATTACCTATTTTGCACTGGTGAGTGTACCCAGGCAACAACTTTTACAATCAAGAAGCTAATATAACAATGTATAAATTCCATGTATGGTTGTTGACCATGGTTGAGAAGAGAGAGCTTCGCCAGTAGGACTAAACATAAAAAAATGAACCCATCTTGATGCCATCTGAAAATGCCATCAACTAATTTGACTAACCATCTGCTTTTGACAGAATGGGAACCAAATGTATAATGACTATGAAGTGTCCTATTTAGTACAGATTGTGAAGTATGGCATCAGCTTCCATTTCTAAAATTACTGAAAGCTTTATAATTAAATTATTTTTCATAAGGTTTACTTCCATTCTTATACCACAGATGCTCACTGGAAACCATCAATGTTATGAAAATGACACCTTCAAGTCTTATTTTAGGAAAGATCCTGATTACACACAGAGCTGATATTTTAGCCCTGTAGATGCTATACCTTAAATTCAATGTACATTTCCATTTTCAAAATTTCATGACTTTTGTCGTATATTATTGTCAATTTCAAAGTTTGTATACGGACACCAGCATCATGCTTAATTTTACTTAGCTGTCCTTCCTCCTTAAAACCTCAACCTTATATTCAGCCCTCTGGATACTGCACACATCCCAAGACTCCTATCACATGGTCATTGAATTACAGTATCACTATCCCCTCATCATCCCAGCTATATCCTCTTCCTACAGTCTTTACATTCCTACCTATATCTATTGGTATATCTTTCCTGTATTAACATAAAGCATCTTTTGCGTCAATGTCAAATCCCCTCCACCTGTTGCACTTTGGTCCAATACATACGACCATTGCTCCCCATGCAGCCTCGATCATTTGTGACACCTATGTTGATTCCAAAGTCACAATCTTTTATGACTAGGCTTACCATAAATTTAATGTGGCAGATGTGGCAGGTGGGTGTCCTGCGTTGCATAACTTGAAAGCCAAATTACGATGACGCTGGGTACCACACAAAGTCTGAAAAGTCACATCTGTTTTTTGGATATTTGGAAGACCTATTCATACTTTCATAGGGTAATAAGGGGAGAGACATGGTTTTATATAGTGTAACGGACTATGTTTTCACAAGAAAACAGAGAGGTAGCGTGAGTGAACAGTGAATTGTGTTGACCAGGTTTTTCCACGGGGAGAGACAATCAATGTGGATTGTATTTTTGAGAGGACAATGTGAGCTCCACGTTTTTGGAAAGTAAAATTATGTTTTGTCAGAGCGGTTGTTTTCCACGCTTTGCTGGTAATAAAGTATGAGTTGACTGAGATAGTGAGAGCTGAGCGCAGAGCAGTAGAGAACAGTAGAGCGTGAGAGCTGTGTGATTAAACAGTTGAGCTGAGTTATAGTAGTGTGAGGACGTGTCTTTCTGAATGATGGAATAATACTATATATATATGTGAAATTACATTCGTGCAAGGATTATCATTAATATTATCAGTATAAAGTGTGTTCAATAAAGTACTGTGAGTTTTAACTAGAATTGAGTATTCTTCTTTACGTGCCTGGATAATAAGTGAAAGAATGAAGAAGACTTAGTCGGCATCCTGAAGTATTAACATAAGTAACCCTACTACTGATATAACCCACAGCATAAGAAATAAGATCCCACGCCATGTCAGAGTAGATGTGTTACATATAGCTCACTTGAATCTACTCTCTAAGAAACATATATCCTTTTTGTCCAAAATCTCTGAAAATTTTATAAATGTACAATCCATTGTATTCATGGGAAGATTGTTGACTGAAATTTCTAGTCTGTTGCTTCTATAGTTACGTAGGAAAGGATGGAGCATCAATATGTTGACTGACATGTCTAGTCTGTTGCTTCTATAGTTACGTAGGAAAGGATGGAGCATCAATATGTTGACTGACATGTCTAGTCTGTTGCTTCTATAGTTACGTAGGAAAGGATGGAGCATCAATATGTTGACTGACATGTCTAGTCTGTTGCTTCTATAGTTACGTAGGAAAGGATGGAGCATCAATATGTTGACTGACATGTCTAGTCTGTTGCTTCTATAGTTACGTAGGAAAGGATGGAGCATCAATATGTTGACTGACATGTCTAGTCTGTTGCTTCTATAGTTACGTAGGAAAGGATGGAGCATCAATATGTTGACTGACATGTCTAGTCTGTTGCTTCTATAGTTACGTAGGAAAGGATGGAGCATCAATATGTTGACTGACATGTCTAGTCTGTTGCTTCTATAGTTACGTAGGAAAGGATGGAGCATCAATATGTTGACTGACATTTCTAGTCTGTTGCTTCTATAGTTACGTAGGAAAGGATGGAGCATCAATATGTTGACTGACATGTCTAGTCTGTTGCTTCTATAGTTACGTAGGAAAGGATGGAGCATCAATATGTTGACTGACATTTCTAGTCTGTTGCTTCTATAGTTACGTAGGAAAGGATGGAGCATCAATATGTTGACTGACATGTCTAGTCTGTTGCTTCTATAGTTACGTAGGAAAGGATGGAGCATCAATTTGTTGAAGTTGGAAAAATTAGGCTCCGTCTCATATTCAAAAATGACTCAAATTTACTAGTAGACTTATTCATCAATAATAATAATAATAAAGCTTATTTGAAAATCATGCTTCATCCCCAAAGGCTCAAACACATTTTATTAATTGATAAAGGTGCATTACCTATGACAAGCTTAGAATTTGACAGTCTTTACATTTAGAATAAATTGCGTCAAAAATGGAATTTGAAACCAACTGACTCCAATATTAGCAAAGTTTACGAGTCTGTCTAAGATGGACAGGGCACAATAATTTCTACCAACGTGGGATTGAAACCAAAACAAAATATTTAAAGCTGTTGGGATGGTCACACCGCTGCTCAACCGGGAAGATCAGGGTCAAATCAGGATGCTGAGACACGACTGCTAAACCGGGATGACCCCAGTCAAATAGTGACATATGATAAGCCTAGCTATTGCTGATATATGCTTTGCAAAATGTAATGTTATAGAATTCATTATGAGATTTCGGAGGATCAGAATGGCCCCTGAATAAAACTAGATTTTGGTTGTTTTACTTGTTTTTAACTTCTAAATTTGCTTCAGAAACTTCATGTAGTTTTTATGTGTGCAATGTAATAACAATTAGTACTGTACAAATGTATGTGCAGATGGGATTTTGAAATCAGCCAGACAAATTCTACCAGCTAAGTTAGCATATATTTTAAATAAATCAATAGCTCTGATTTTAAATGAACATTTAATTGACTTGCAAAAAACCAGGTGGGGCTACTGCCTTCATAAGTGAAGATACCTTTGGCCCACTGGACTAAAGTTCTTTTATTTTCTACGGGGATCAGATTTTACTATTTTATCTAAACTAATATTTACTTTGTTAGCATGAAATACAAATGGCAACAATAGACGATTTTCAGACCTGAAATAAAATGGTTCTCTGTGGGGGGGGGGGGGGGGAGTGGTTAGTCTGGGGAGGGTATTATGAGCTTAGGCTGGACGGCCCGCTGAAATTTTATCCCTAAAGCGGATTAGAGGAAGTCCTGCTCTGAGATAAGGTCATGTTACTCTGACAGTTGATAAGGTCATGTGAGTTACTCTGACAGTTGATATGGTCATGTGAGTTACTCTGACAGTTGTTAAATTAGTGGCTTATTGTCTCCAGCACTTCCATACATGATTAGGTGGCTTATTGTCCACAGTACTTCCATACATGATTAGGTGGCTTATTGGCTCCATTACTTCCATACATGATTAGGTGGCTAATTGTCTCCAGTACTTCCATACATGATTAGGTGGCTTATTGGCTCCATTACTTCCATACATGATTAGGTGGCTTATTGTCACCAGTACTTCCATACATGATTAGGTGGCTTATTGTCTCCAGTTCTTCCATACATGATTAGGTGGCTTGTCTCCAGCACTTCTATACATGATTAGGTGGCTTATTGTCACCAGTACTTCCATACATGATTAGGTGGCTTATTGTCTCCAGTTCTTTCATAATGATTAGGTGGCTTATTGTCTCCAGTACTTCCATACATGATTAGGTGGCTAATTGTCTCCATTACTTCCATACATGATTAGGTGGCTTATTGTCACCAGTACTTCCATACATGATTAGGTGGCTTATTGTCTCCAGTTCTTCCATACATGATTAAGTGGCTTGTCTCCAGCACTTCCATACATGATTAGGTGGCTTATTGTCTCCAGTACCTCCATACATGATTAGGTGGCTTGTCTCCAGCACTTCTATACATGATTAGGTGGCTTATTGTCTCCAGCACTTCCATTCATGATTTGTTGTGATGGATACCAGGGCTCTTCAACGTCAGTGACAATGAAATAGGGGACACTCTAGCAAAAACCGGGGTTGCCCAGCCTCAGTCAGAAGTACCAATGACATATTTGTGAATTAACTGGCTGGCAGACCACTTCAGGACGAAGTGGTACAGGCAATGGACAGACAACATAACCGCCAGAGGCGTTTTCATTAACTTGTCCACTCCTAGCAGACTAGACCCGTTGTGGGGTTTAGGTTGCAGGCAGCAGAGTCTAGTAACGCAGATGCGCACAGAGCAATGCCTCATTGGCACATAATTCCGGAGGCTAGATCACAATAGGGACCCTCCCGGCATTGCAGCCTGGTCCTGGAAACAATACCGCACCAGTTGACCCAATACAGAATGTCTCTAACTAGATGTTCTGGGGGAAGCCAGGGCGGTTGGAGAGCCCTATGTGAGGAAAATGTTGTATGGCTCAGCTCAGCAGATGGAGTTGGTAGCCAATCTACTAGCCGGGGTCATCTCTGAGTAATCTCAGACCCTCACCAGATTATGTATGCTAGTTAGTTCACTGTACAAAAAAAAATTAATGAAACAAAATAATGAACGTGTCGACAGGAAGCCTTCATCAGTGAACAAACAACAGTAAATACAGTTAAAATAAAAATAGCAGTTAGCTCATTTGCTCATTTGTTCAAGTTTTACCAAACTTTGTTTTTGTTAACATCATTGCAGTCTCTCTCCTCATCACCATGTATCAAAGGATACGCCATAGATTTTCATAATTTCTTAACACTCCACATCATTGCTTTATTTGCCCCTTTAAATTTTCTTTTGTGTTCTGCTCTATTGGGACGGCCAGATTGGATCTAATCTAACCAGTGCTTAATTAATAAAGATACACATGACCTTGACATTTACCACGATCACCGAGGACAGAATATTGAACTTAGTGATGGATCAAATTTTTGATTTCCAACTACATAATTGTTTATTCCCTAGGGCAAAAATGACCTTCAGACCGAGGCAGATCGGGCAGCCCAAAGGTGTATTGTGGCCACTCTGCACAAACAGTTTCCTAAAGTGGCCATCTTTGGTGAGGAGGTGAGTTGGATATATTTTCTATACTCTTAATATAACAATAATAGTGTTCTCTTCCGTAACAGTATTTGTCTTTAGCATGTAGTAATGGAAATTAATCATTGAACATACAGATATGACATATCTGATAGTGTGATCTGTCTAACATAAACATGACATATGTACCAGCATTAGCACATTATTGCCATTCCTTGTGTCATTCATGTCTCTAGCACCAAACATCTGTGCTGTACCATTGAAACACATTATTGCAATTCCTTGTGAAATTTATGTCTGACATACAAAAGTGACATATTTCAATAAATTGTGTCGTCTTTGCCAAACATAAAAAAGTGATGTCTGTCAATAATTTGTGTCATCTATGTCCATCAAACAAAAGTAACGATGTCCATAATTTGTCTTATCCATGTCCAGAGTTTAGACCCCACAGAAAAAATCCCTGATGATTACATCGTCAAAGACCTGGATCCAGGTGTGCTATCCCATCCGTGTCCTGAAGGATATAAGGATGTCACAGATGATCAGGTGAGTTCAGCACGTCACATTACTTTCACAAGATCCCAAATAGATGCAATAGTAATAAATAGTGTAACAAGATATGTGTAGGCTTCAAGTAAAGTCTGTAACAAGATATGTGTAGGCTTCAAGTAAAGTCATGACCATTAAACGAACTTCTTTTTTTCTTCTAATAACATAGAGCGCTTCCTGTTCCGAACTTTGACCTACATTGACATTGTTGAGATCTTCTAAAACATATGTTTTATTTTTTTATTCATCTGTTGTTTATTATTGTATGGTCTGTTGTAGAAGTCATCTGTCCAAAACGTCAGTTGAATTGTCATGTCTTTTTTTTAAAAATATAAAAATGTTCAATTTGATTGTTTGTAATTTGCATGGGAGAAATGTTCATTGACAGTAATTGTTTTTTAATTTGAAGTGAAAAGAGCTTGACATAATTGTTTTATTGATTATTTTAATTTGTTAAAGCTGAACATATTTCTATAGGCACATTGTGAGGAGCTGCTTTTATTACATCTAACTACTGTCACTGTTTACTACTGTCACTGTTAATTACTGTCACTGTTAAGTACTTTCTTTATTGTAGAGATGAAGGTATATGATAGGATTTGCTGTAGTTTAAAATGACATCCTCCGTAGGGATATTACCTGAACACGTCTTACAGTAACAGTGAACTCTACTAGTCATATTGTCAACTTCTTTTAATAGGGGTGACATAGTTCTCAAACTTTCATTTCAACATATAATCAAAGACTTTTACTTTAATTAATTTAGAAAGTAAACTGTTAATCTTATTCAAGCGATGTCGCATCTTTTCAAAGCACAATATTTATGGAGCAAGAGTTTGAGATTGTCAAGGTCATGACAATTGTGCATGTGAACGAGAGTGAACTTTTTTCAAGTAAGGGACGGGTGCGTGAAATGTGGGGTATAAAAGGGGAGACAAATAATTTGAGAGGGACGTTATATTACGTTCACGGACAGTGGTTGTACTCCGTCACAGTATTATACAATGAACCTTTAAGCGTTGTTTGGCATGGAACTAATCCGTTGTACGACCAATGAAGATAGACCAGGTGGAATCTGTGAACTAGTCCGTTGTACGACCAATGAAGATAGACCAGGTGGAATCTGTGAACTAGTCCGTTGTACGACCAATGAAGATAGACCAGGTGGAATCTGTGACATGAGAATAGGAGACACTAAATAGTCGCCATCAGCTTCAGACCTTAGACAACGAAAATATTTGACATGAGGTTGAATATTTGACAGATATCTTACACTTAGTAATAGCATCAAGCATTTTCACAGTTCAGTTAATTTTAATATCAAAGATCAGCTTCCTGAAACGATGCTAGCTGTTCAACGTCATTTTGTATGATCACTTAGCAGGACTAAGAGATCTTCACATTTATCCATTGTTGAGATTTAGGTTGGTTTTGTTTCTCTGGGTCTCACATTTTTTTGTTGAACTAATAAATGATTGACCTGTTAATTAAATCACTGAATTGATATGAAGTAATATCCAGAGAAGTTTATATGCATATATGAACATTACCAAAACTTTGAAGTTATTCAATTGTCTGACAATGGGATTCAGTTCATGAACATCACCAAAAACTTAGAAGTTATTCAATTGTCTGACAATGGGATTCAGTTCATGAGCATCACCAAATTATAGGAAATAATCATGTTGATGTGCAGAATTGCATGTTAAACAGCTGACCACATCTCTCCATCACCAGGTGATGCTCGGCTAAAAAAAAATTGAAATAATATCACCAACAACCTTCTACCAACACTATCAAAAACACTGTTAAAATTCACTGGCGCTTTTCAGCTTGCTTTTAAAATTACTGTAATCTCTCTTTGAGAGCCACTGGTCTGCTAGGCATTTTTTGCATATCAGTAAAATCACTGACCGTCTTCTTTATGCTATGACATAATACCAAGTTATGTTTACCCTGCATCTCATTATGATAAGATATTATCTTCATGTCAATTCCATGTCATGTATCTTCATGTCAATTCCATGTCATGTATCTTCACGTCAATTCCATGTCATGTACAATGCTCTTGGGGTCATTGATAAAAACCCATTTGGAAACTTCAAAAATTTGAATTCCGTACCTCATTATTGTAAAATGATGAGTGCCTTGATTTATTTTCTTAAATTCCTTCAAGGTTGTGATATGGGTCGACCCACTTGATGGTACAGCTGAGTTTACACAAGGTGTGTTCAATTGTCATAGTAACCATATTACTAAACACAGCGACGATTTTAACTTGTTTATTTTAACCTCTTGCAAACGGAGAAATGTTTTGAAGCCTAATTGAAATGCACCTCTAGCTAATATACAAAGTGGTTGTAGAGCAATTATTTGGGGATATTTATAAAAAAATTGTTTAGAAAGATGAACTTTGATATAACGTAACCCAGCTTGTGCCCCAAGTATTTTTAATTTGATGACTTGAGTAATTTCTAATGAAATGTGTTTAGTCATTTATAACAAAGTGTGTTTCAAATAAATTCTAAAAAGTACAGGGGATTTAATTAGAATCCAATCTGCAAAGTGCCATGATATCAACAAATATTTTATTTTTCTCTGCTTTTTATTTTTTGTGCAGGCCTTTTGGATCATGTGACGGTTCTGATAGGTGTCGCCGTCAACGGTGAGGCAAGAGGAGGAGTCATTTATCAGCCATACTACAACTACGAGGCTGGACCCGATGCCGACCTGGGACGGTGTATCTGGGGACTGGTGGGATTAGGTGGGTTGTTTGTTGGCAGCGGGATGGACCCGTGATTTCTGATGCAGGACTGCTTCAAATTTATGACAAAATTTAAATGGCCTGAAATAAAAGCATGCTTCTCCAAAGATAGAACCGAACACATCTCACAGGCCGAACACATCTCACAGGCCTAACACATCTCACAGGCCTAACACATCTCACAGACAGGCCGAACACATCTCACAGGCCTAACACATCTCACAGGCCGGCCGAACACATCTCACAGGCCTAACACATCTCACAGACAGGCCGAACACATCTCACAGGCCTAACACATCTCACAGACAGGCCGAACACATCTCACAGGCCGAACACATCTCACAGGCCTAACACATCTCTCAGGCCTAACACATCTCACAGACAGGCCGAACACATCTCACAGGCCTAACACATCTCACAGGCCTAACACATCTCACAGACAGGCCGAACACATCTCACAGGCCTAACACATCTCACAGGCCTAACACATCTCACAGGCCTAACACATCTCACAGCCCTAACACATCTCACAGGCCTAACACATCTCACAGGCCGAACACATCTCACAGGCCTAACACATCTCACAGGCCTAACACATCTCACAGACAGGCCGAACACATCTCACAGGCCTAACACATCTCACAGGCCAGCTTGAAAGATTTTAGAAGGGTCCAAAGAGAACTGATACAACATTGATCATTATTTTGCTGTGTCGTTCATCAGTCTGTACTTTTAATTATGGATTGCTTTCTCAATTGACAGTGGAGCAAGGGCCACCCATAACATCTTTCCAATCCTTCATGCCTCTGCCAATCTATTCGAACACTCCCCAAGCCCTTCTAAGACTAGCTCATTTTTTTGTACGACTTTCTCATCTAAATATGGATGGGCTTCCCCTTTCCCTAGAATTCTGATTATTCTTCACTAGTGCCATTATTTCATGCTTAATCTAGGCTTTCTCCATGTGTCACATTGATCTGACATTTCATGCCTGATGCAGGCTTTCTCCATGTGTCACATTGATCTAACATTTCATGTCTGATGCAGACTTTCTCCATGTGTCACATTGATCTGACATTTCATGCCTGATGCAGACTTTCTCCATGTGTCACATTGATCTAACATTTCATGCCTGATGCAGGCTTTCTCCATGTGTCACACTGATCTAACATTTCTCTCTTATTTTTCTTGGTTTGTGATGGAATTTTTGTGAACCTTTTTTATTCTTGCTATTACCATTTCCATCTGCATTCTTTCAATGAATTGATCCAGTCCTTTCATGGTCATTGTTTTTTAGTCCTGAACATTTTCCTTAAATAAGCTAGTTACATTTCCACACTGCCCTTCTCTCAGGTTCCAACAGTTACATTTCCACACTGCCTTTCTCCCAGGTTCCTACAGTTACATTTCCACACTGCCCTTCTCTCAGGTTCCTACAGTTACATTTCCACACTGCCCTTCTCCCAGGTTCCTACAGTTACATTTCCACACTGCCCTTCTCCCAGGTTCCTACAGTTACATTTCCACACTGCCTTTCTCCCAGGTTCCTACAGTTACATTTCCACACTGCCCTTCTCCCAGGTTCCAACAGTTACATTTTCACACTGCCCTTCTCTCAGGTTCCAACAGTTACATTTTCACACTGCCCTTCTCTCAGGTTCCAACAGTTACATTTTCACACTGCCCTTCTCTCAGGTTCCTACAGTTACATTTTCACACTGCCCTTCTCTCAGGTTCCTACAGTTACATTTTCACACTGCCCTTCTCTCAGGTTCCTACAGTTACATTTCCACACTGCCCTTCTCCCAGGTTCCAACAGTTACATTTCCACACTGCCCTTCTACAGTTACATTTCCTCACTGCCCTTCTCTCAGGTTCCTACAGTTACATTTCCACACTGCCCTTCTACAGTTACATTTCCTCACTGCCCTTCTCTCAGGTTCCTACAGTTACATTTCCACACTGCCCTTCTACAGTTACATTTCCTCACTGCCCTTCTACAGTTACATTTTCACACTGCCCTTCTCCCAGGTTCCAACAGTTACATTTTCACACTGCCCTTCTCCCAGGTTCCAACAGTTACATTTCCTCACTGCCCTTCTCTCAGGTTCCTACAGTTACATTTCCACACTGCCCTTCTCCCAGGTTCCTACAGTTACATTTCCACACTGCCTTTCTCCCAGGTTCCTACAGTTACATTTCCACACTGCCCTTCTCCCAGGTTCCAACAGTTACATTTTCACACTGCCCTTCTCTCAGGTTCCAACAGTTACATTTTCACACTGCCCTTCTCTCAGGTTCCAACAGTTACATTTCCTCACTGCCCTTCTCTCAGGTTCCTACAGTTACATTTCCACACTGCCCTTCTACAGTTACATTTCCACACTGCCCTTCTACAGTTACATTTCCACACTGCCCTTCTACAGTTACATTTCCACACTGCCCTTCTCTCAGGTTCCTACAGTTACATTTCCACACTGCCCTTCTACAGTTACATTTCCACACTGCCCTTCTCTCAGGTTCCTACAGTTACATTTCCACACTGCCCTTCTACAGTTACATTTCCACACTGCCCTTCTCCCAGGTTCCTACAGTTACATTTCCTCACTGCCCTTCTCTCAGGTTCCAACAGTTACATTTCTATACTGTACTTTTCTCAGGTTCCTTTGGCTTTATACCGGGAACTCCCCCTGCAGACAAAAACCTGATTACAACCACCCGCTCTCACTCGGATTGGATTATCACAGAGGCTGTCAATTCTTGCGAGCCGACGGATATCATCCGAGTAGGAGGGGCCGGTCATAAGGTAATATCATTGGTTTCTATTTAATCTTTGTTAGTTGAGTCCTCACATGTGCTCAGCTATTTAAGTGCATGTTAACGCGACGGGCCATTTAAAGATAAGCAATTTTGGCATTGCAAATAATTGGCCACTTTTGTTGTTGAAATTTACTGTTTATTGGTTCAAAGGTGATGTTTACAAAAATTATTTTGAAGAAATTGCTTTAACAATCTGTAGGCCTTAAAGTTGCTGGCGTTGATTGTAATTTGAATTAAAAAAATTATCCAATATTTTAAAATGTTCTGAACTTCTCAATAAATTATGTCTTCTTTATTTGCTTTTTCCATTTTTCCATTGCTTAACACTATATTTTATGAACAGTTACTTAAGAAGGATGTTAATATTTGGACTCAAATTGTGAAAGAATTCTTCTTTTAATGCCAGGTATTGCTACTGTTAGAAGGAAAAGTCCACGCCTATGTGTTTGCCAGTAAAGGTTGTAAGAAGTGGGATACTTGTGCCCCAGAGGCTGTGCTGCACGCTATAGGTGGTCGTCTGACGGACATATTGGGTAACCCAATCCTCTATCATGCCAATGTGCAACGTCAGAACGCTGGCGGGGTACTGGCCACCTTGCAGAAGCATCAGTGGTATGTGGATAAAATACCTCAAGAAATCAAGGACAACTTTGTCTCAGGTAGGACTTGTTAACCTGGTTTTTAAATTTTGGTCCTTAACATGTTTTTTTTAAAATAGGAAGCATTCTTTTGTAATATGTGACTTTCATTGTTATCAATCAAAGCATAGATGTTGTGAAACTGGTTGCACTAACTTTGTACCTGTTGTCCAAACAGTTTATCTAATGTGCGAACTGTTGTTCAAAGCGTAGTGCTTACACAGTAGCTGTAGTCCAAACAGGACAGATACAAAGTTGAGTTTGAACTATCATTGACACCTTTCACTTTTTGATGCTATAAAAATATTGAGTGATCCCTTGTATCATTGCTGTGTCGGCCCTGGTCTTCGAAAACAATCAGATTGGAATATTTGATGATTTCTGTGACAGATAAACCTAGTGAGGAGATGCTGGAGAAGAAACGTCTCCTTGCTTCCATGAAATTTCAAAGCGGTGATGCAGGATCTTCGGTTGACCCCCCAGAGTTCAGCCAGGTTGGTTGTTCAGAATTTGGCTGGTTTTTTTTGTTGGTTAAAGTTGCTTAGAGTTAATTGGTTTGTTTTCATAACATTGTTTGAGAATCTGCCAGTTTGGTTGGCTTAAACTTGTTGAGGATGAAGTCATATCGGTTGGCTTTCATATGACTTTGAACCAGATTTTAAAAAAGATTAAATTGATTCTAAATCCAGCCTGGAATTTTTTGCAAGGCATTTTTCACAGATCAGTTAGGTTAATTGCCTTAGAAATTTTGTTTCATTTTTTAAATTCTTTCACTTCTTGGCCTGAATTCTTTTCTCTATGTTGTCTCAGTGTCCTGTACGATTTGTTTCACTTATTTTATCTGAGGGCATCACTGTTTTCATTTTATTCCCATGTAGCACTATAGATTATTCCATGTAGCACTATAGATTATTCCATGTAGCACTATAGATTATTAACAAGTATAAAATATTTTATTTTGAAAGTGTTTCTGATGTAATAATTACCTTATAATTTTAACTAACTGGTTGTATTTGTTAGTCAAACTAACATATGTAGATTTTTTTTCCCTATCATAACTTTAACAAAGAGTGCACATTTTTTTTTATTGTAGTTTGATTTAGACATCTTTCACTGCACACCAACCTTCATTTGAAAAGCTTACCCTTATTATATCATTAAAAATGATTATTAATGTTTTTTATGTGTCCTTTCCAGGGTGATTATTCTAAAGCTTCTAAGTGCTCTGATAAGACCAAGCTGTGACGGAATGATTGGACCTCTCCTCTTCTTGGGAATAAACTTATTTTTAAAAAATAAAATTTGATAAGAATATTCGTTTCTTTATTAACTTTTCCTTTGTCAGCAGAGATCTGACCAACTTATGTATTTTTGCACTCCTCCAAAGATGTTTTACATGATTCATATTTTTGCAATAAAGTGAGTCTATTTATAGTTGACATATTTTTGAGATGTCATGGAAGGGACTCTTAACTTTGTTTTTGGGTAGTGTTAAAAAATGAAAACATTAACATTTTATTTATAAAATTTAAATAGAAGATAACTTCAAATAACAAATGGGAGATTATCATGAAACACCAACACACAAAAATAAAGTGATTTAACATTTTAAAAAACAAACAAAATAATTGTGCCATCAAAGTTTAAAAAAAAATTCTTAGGAGCTTTAAATAAAATATATTCAGATCCTTAATTTTTAGTTACTGCTTTTACTTTTAGATGCCTTGTAGTTGGTGCCATTGCTATTTGTGCACTTGTCAAACCATTCCATGTTGATTTCATGATAATTGAATGAAATTTGTGCAAATATTCCAATGAGCAGGGTGATCATCTGTCATTTCTAACCTACAGTATTTATTCTCAATCAGATTCAGTATTTCAATTAGAACACTTTTCTAGTAAAGAACCTTTATGACTATGTAACTTTATATGATAATAGATAATGCTAAGAGCATTCTTTAAAAAAAAAAAAAATGTAACATTTTTGTAAATGTTCATTTTGATGGATGTCTGAAATGTTATATTATTTTACTGTTGCTCCTTATGAAATAAGTAAATAATTTGTTATAAATCTTCATTTTTCTTTACTAGAATAAGTCAGTTTTGTTTCCAGTTATGTTGTGTGAAGCTAAAAATAATGTTCCATAATTGTTCTACATTGTTCATTTAAATTATCTAGTGTTACCATTATTGCTGGTCTCGTTTTTAGAGATGAACTTTTCTGGAATAAAACAATCAGACCTGATAAAGTTAGTATCTGTGATATTATAGTCTTTAACTCCAACTGTAGCAATCTGGGCAGGGCTGGTCTCTAGTCATACAAATATCTTCAACTGCAGGTCTCACTTAGAGATGGGCTAGGCTTTGGATAAGATCCTTCATTGAAATTTTGATATCTTAATATTCAAACCAGGATGTATAGCTACTAGTGACTTAGGATGGACAAATAAATTTGCTCATCAAGCTGTCACTTTAAATTAAAAGGAAAACTACATGCAATACAGAGAATGTAAGTCGGAAGAAACGCATCATGCATGCAAAGGATAGTTTGTATTTCATTTTATATTTCATCGCCTTTTCAAAATTCATTTGAATTATTAGTATTATTAATTTTTTATGAGATTGCATTTTTTTTTAAATAATCCAAATTTTTATATGGAAAATTACTTTATAAAGAAAATGAAATAAATTATAGATTTCAAATTTACTCAGTTATCTCACTGTGTGCAAGTTATATCACTGTGTGCAAATAATCTCATTGTGAACAAGTTATATCACTGTGTGCAAGTTATCTCATTGTGAACAAGTTATATCACTGTGTGCAAGTTATCTCACTGTGTGCAAATTAGATCACTGTGTAATTTATCTCACTGTGTGCAAGTTATCTCATTTTTGAACAAGTTATATCACTGTGTGCAAGTTATCTCACTGTGTGCAAGTTATCTTACTGTGTGCAAGTTATCTCATTGTGTTCAAATTAGCTCAGTGTGCAAGTTATCTCATTGTGTGCAATTTATCTCACTGTGCAAATTAGCTCACTGTGTGCGTCATCTCACTGTGTGCAAGTTATCTGATTTAGTTTCATTTTAAAATGTTACAAATATTTTTAGTCTTCAGAAGGGTGCTCCTGGCCTAGGGAATGTTCAAGTAAGGCATTGAAGCCACTGGTGGAAACATACCTTAGTGAGCTTCTTGGGGTAAACATTACTCTGCACACCCATGAGCTTCTTGGGGTAAACATTACTCTGCACACCCAGATCAAACAACGAAAGAGTCCAGAATATGCCATTAAATCATTCAGCTTTAGCATCACCCAACGTCTATGTATGTACTTTGTCAAGGGGTGCCGAGTGTGACAGCACCATCTTAACTGAGTATATCCCAAGCTTGTGGGCTGGAGTACGATCCCAACAAAAGCCTAGGCCAAAAAAATCAGCACCCAGGCTGGATGGGACTCATGAGCGTTGGATGGCAACTGATTAAGAGAATGAGATGGAGTCCAGTTGGTCGTATGACATTGGCACAATGAAAATTCTGGCAACGCTGCTGATGCCAAGCTGTATCATCTACACATCCAGATGTGAGAAGAGAGTTAATTTGAAGTCTAGGGAGCCAGCTTATCCTCGTAAAGAAAAATCCCAAGTTTTGTGATTTTGTTGTACGACTTCGACACCATCGTCACTATGTGATGGACGCATGTCCAAACAACTGTGGTAATATGTTACTGACTTCATAAATAATCAACACCCTCCTCCATTTTTCATAAACTCAGTTTCAAGTCATAAGAATGAACACTAGAAAGCAATCGAAAGCTCCAAACTATTTTATTGGACAGATGGAGGTTTACATTGGTACATCATTTCAAAACAAGAATTACATTTAATCTTAGGAAATGTTACCAAAAAAATTAAATATAGACATGCTGAGCCAAGGCACAAAAAATTATAAGTTTCTAAAAAATTGTCCTGAAATGATAAATACAGCACCAACTTGTTCCAGCACAAATGGTATGCTCACAAAATGATGTACTGAAAATGTTACTGATCACTAACGTAAATAGTTGAGATTTTGTTCTTTGCATTTGTCTAAATAATTAGAGAATGCTAGGCATAAATTATTAAGTTTAAAAAAATAATAATAAAAAAAGTGGTAACAAGAACAGCTAAAATATATTGCTGATGGTAATGTAAAAAAGAAAAAAGACAAATTATATATTTTATATATTATAAAAAGTGTTTAAATTGCCAACTTTTTTTATTCAAAGGTCATACATTCTGCAAAATTCTATATTTCCCGTTTTTTTATTTTACGATTAAGATATATTTTTTTAAATTTTTTAAATACATTTTTAGGCTACTAGTACTACTTAGACAAGAAAGGGAACACATAGTTGAAAGTATAAGAAAAATATAGTAAAACAAAGAAACAAATCACCACAATATTATTTGTACACATTCTACTAAAGATATTGGCATTAGCTAGCTGTTAGTTCCTCTTAATTAGGCATATTTTACTAGGTTTACAATAGGCTGTTAATGCAAACGGGTGCTTGCACTAATCCTAGAATCTAATCTACATGACCACTATTATCTGCGTTACCTACATTCTTAAAAGGCCATCCTATGGAAACATTAGCAGCCTGTGGTGGTTACAAAAAAAAACAACAAAAAAAGGGCAGTGTTGAAAAATAAAATTGTAAATATTTAAAAAAAAAGAAATTATGAAAAACGAAAACCTGCCCACTGTTATGAAGCACCTTGATTGATGACATATCTGATCAAACTGGGAGTTAAAGTCAAAGTGCAAATCAAATGAGATATTATCATCTTGCAAACTGGACTAATGAGATCTTTAACTTTAGAACAATCACTAAGAATAGTTTGAACAAAAAAATAGCTGATATGATAAGAAGCCTGCATCTTGAAGGTTTATTTAAAAAGATGAAAATATAAAAGGTCAACATTTTTTCATTGAAATTGCTGTAAAGTGTGGTAGTCAAATATTGTTTTAAAAAAGTAATAATAAAGATGAGCTTATTAAACTTAAACAAGAAATGAATGAAATCAAAGAACTTGTTAAGCAGACAATAAATTATTAACCAAAGTGTGTCCATAGCATCACAGAGTAGGAATACAATCTCTACTTCATCACAATGGTCAGTACAAGAATCTCTAGATCATGGAGATGATAAATATTTCTTACAGTTTCCATCAATCACATCCGTTTAAAAATAAGTCAGTTGTAAAAAATGAAATAATCTCACAACATACTCTGCTTTAAACACGAATTTTAAAGGAAAAAAAACAGTATTCAAATTCAAGAGCTTTAGTAGATCCCTGCGTCAGAAAAGGTTAGCGTTAGAATAGATTAGTTAGCATTAGAATAGATTAGTTAGCGTTGCCAATTATTTATGCTACTTCCAAGATCAAATAGAAAATGAACAAATTTAATAACAAATTATTTATTCAATTTGCAAATGATTTAGTCTGTAAATATTGGGAATATGGGAAGCATCCAATATGTTCAATTAATGTCAAAGAGATTCAACAAAAGTTTTACAAATGTGTTTCAAGATTAAAAATCATGTTAGAAATATATATATATATATATAGAAAAATTTAAAATTCCTCCGACAGTAAAAAATGTGTAAAAGCAATCTCCACCCAGCTAAGGTCAAATAAAGTTTACACAAAACAGTGAATTAAAAAATGTAACTTCATTAGTTACTATTAGAAGTAACACAAATGATATGCTCAAACAAAAACACACAAAAAATCACATGATATTTTCTTATAGATAAGAAGTGTTATGAATGATAAACATTTGTATCCTCTTGTCAGCTGTCAAAAGCTGCTAAAGTATATTATCATTTTGAAATCATTATCTTTCGTGGTAAATGATCTTAAAAAATCTATTTTTTGACTAGGAATAAGGAACCAATAATATCATTAACATTACTTGAGACATAATGTAATTAAAAACATGAACTGGTGATATGGATGCCTCTACCTAACTATGAAATGAAACAAGAAAAGCGCATATTTTTTTTGTTTATTCTGATAGTAGTCGTAATGAGTTAAATACCATTCAAACGCAATGACTTCAACATTTATTTATTAGTCATTACAATAGTGAAATGGATCAAAGCTTTAATAAATAGAAGGGATCTTAAAAATAAACATTGTCAGCAAGTGTTTGTCATAAAACTTCATGTAGAGTTAAAACTTGCCCATATTTGATTTAAAAATTCACACTCTGACTTTTACCAGCCATTTAGATTTCCTAACTATCTAATAAACAAAATTGGTCGTTTGAGCATACTCTCATTAAACAAATAATTTTGGCTTTAAATTTAGACAAAATATAATCTGGTGACAGAATGAACGTATCAGAAAGGATGTCAAATGTTTTAAAACTTGAGCACCAATGTGGACAATTTTAAAGGAAATAACTCTGTTATTATATCGATGGCAAAAAGATTGTCTGGCATCTTGAGCATGGGAAAAAACTGTCTTACATCGAGCAAAAGTTTAATTCATTGTCAAAGAAGAATGCAGTGAATTACTTGCGTATCTATTATACTTATTATATTTAATCCACAGAGGTCTTTAAAAAACTATTGCAGTCTCAGATGATGGAGGTCAGGTAGCAAGTGAAAAAAACAGATTGAAATAAAATCTGCAGCAATCCACTTATGGCCACCTGCAGATCCCCACAAAAAAAAAAGAAGATATTGTTTGCCGAGTTTCTTCCACCATCATTTCTTCCAAGTTGATAACCTTAAGAGTACATGGTTGTTTGGATAAACTGTGGAGATAATGCAGTTTTAAAGCACTTAATATTTGTGACAATTATATTAAGATTGCGTCTACAAAATTATAAAATCCAACTTTCTATAATGATTACAAAAAGTGCCAAGATTGTAACGGGTGTATTCGATGAAGTGAAGATTTATCAGTTTTTATTTTCTTCTGTTTGTGTTGAGTTCTTACTTTTATTTCACTAATAAATGAATCGATACTTCTGAATAATGAGGTTTATGGAAGAGTCTTGCAAATATTTTGCTGCGCACGTAAGTAGGGAAGTAGAACTTTCTAGGGAAGTAATGAATTTTTGCAACCACTCCATTTTTCCATGAATGAGATTTTGGTTTAGTTAAATCAAGACCATGGCATTTTGGTTTTGAAGATAATAGTTTTCTGCAGAAATTTTGTTTTTCCATGAACCAGAATTTAAATCAGTCAAAACTTAGACAAAAATTAAGTAGGCAATGTGCCCATGTAGGTAAACTTTATGAAGATCAATTTCAATTTTGGCTATGGGGAATCAAGGACACACTGCATAATTGTTAAGCCTAAAAGGGTTTCTACTCAATACTCACGCTATCAATATCATATGGTGCAAAGCCAGTGTTGTCTGGATCATGTCCCCTGAAGGAAGCTGAAACCAAGGACCAATAAGTTTTAAACGATGGAAAGATTAATTTTTTAATAACTTTTTGATTAAAAAATAATTCTGAAAGTATGTAAACCAAATGAGTCAATTTTTGTTAAGCATCCAATAATTCCCTTGATTATGTACCCACTACAGCACTTACTCAACATTGTCTTGAGCCTGATGGTGCACATGATGAAGTCACCAAAGTCAACCTGGCCATTCTTGTTGCTGTACCTCATGACCAGAGACTTGAAAGTTCTGTTGCTGATA